AGCTTTAGACATTGCCAGTACGTATAACGTCAAGATAGTAGAATGTGAGGAGCGGCTCTAGGAGTTCCTGAAGTAGATTCAAGTCTATGCACTGGTGAGTAGAAACTTATAACACCCCCCCCCGTCGAACCCTGATCTCACAATTGTGCTTTGTTCGCATTGGCGATATATTCTGAGTCATCTTATCTCATATCTCAAGTTTGTTTTTTGGCTTCATTCCGGAATGAGATTCTGTTGAGGAAAATTCAGCAGCGGCAGCAAATATCTTTGGGCAATTTCAAAGGAAACACGAAATGACCACAAATGAGTATTTCAGAACCAATTTAGTCGACGTGCCGTGCCTGCTGAGAGCTTTGCTGACGTGAAGCCTCTCGCTCAAACGTGCCTGTCCGGCTATGAGAACTCCATTCTGGGGTCGTGGTGTGGGCGGAAGTTCGACAAGGCCCCAGCCTCCCGAGTCCCGCGGTTAACCAAGGATCCTCACCCGAACTGCAAACCCAAGTGGGACCACAAGAGTGGGAATTTGGAGAAGAGGAGATGGCGGGGCGCGAAAGATCCATCACTTTAGTTCATGGAGTAAAATCCTTGCTTCGAGGCAACCGTTCGGTTTTCGTGCTCGGTCACAGTCCGAATCCAAGACGCGGGGCGGTGTGGAGGGCGTGGAGGGCCGAGTGAAGGCCGACTCCGGAATCTTCCCCCAGGTATCCGTATTCTAGTCAGGAAAAAGTGCGGGATCTTGGAAAACGCGGGGATTGGCCGGGTGAGGAGTGGGAATCGCGAGATTGGTGTTTATATTGTCGGAAGTAAAACATGGTCGGCGTTAATGCTGACACGGAGGAAGTTGGCCTACGATACTTGGCAGAGTTGAACTTTTCTCTTCTCCACTTACTTCTGCAGATTCTTCTTCCTGCGATTTGGGGAACTACTCCAATTCTGCCCCCCTTTTGCAGCTTGAGTCTTGCGGGGTGCCCCGTGGCTGGAATACTCAATCCAGTAGTGCGGACTTCACTCATACACTAGGATAGGCTCACAATAGCGGACAAGATGGTTTGTGTGTTTAGTGGTAAATTTACTTGATTCGCTTGATGCGTTTCAATTCATTATGGCATTAATCCATTCTATCGACATAAGTCTTGCCACCTCCCGTGATCGACACGAGCCTCGAAAGGCATGGCAAGATTGTGGTTTTAATGTACAATACGCTCTTTGGGGTATCAAACCGCATGGTTTCAACTTCACATAATAACTCGCAGCGCTTAAACAAGGTATCTGAAACCCTTGCCCAGCCTGTGCGAAGCCTCAGCCTCCTCCGCGCTGGTGTTGTTGGCGGTATCAGCTGCCTCGCTCTGCTCAAGCTCCTTGTTCAGCTTGTCAAGAATGACCTTGAAGATGTAGCAACCGACAATAGTGATACCGAACATGGCAGTGACGATACCGTAGCTCTTGCGGAAGCCGTTCTCCTTGAGGTTCCAGACGTACGATCCGGCGACGTTACCAAGCTGGGAGAAGGCGTTGATCATGGCGATGGCAACGGCACGCTTGGCAGGGGGCCGCGGGAATGAGGAGGAAATCCAGGAGTAGAAGACGATGAAGCCGGCGTACGAGCTGGCCTGAAGGAAGAGAGCGACGTAGCGCGCGGCGACATTGAGGGTCGACATGGAGATGACGAAACCGATGAGACCAACGCAGATGGGGCCGACAATGTGCCAGAAGCGCTCCTGAGTGCGATCGGCGTGCCAGGCGTTGATGAGGGAGATAAGGCAGGAGAAGGCCCAGGGAGGGGAGCTCATGAGCAGGGTGGGGACGTAGCCGAAGCCCAGGGTCTGGGTGAGGGTAGGGAAGAAGGCGTTGAAGGAGAGACCGACGACGTAGGCGGTGAAGGTCAGCATCATGATGTAGATCTTGACGTCCTTGACGGCCATGATGAGTCCGTCGAGAGGGCCCATGTCGTCCGAGTCGGCGTCAGCCTCACCGACATCCTCAGTCATGCGCAACTGCGCGACGTAGAGCTCCTCCTCGGTGAAGCCGCGGGAGTTAGTGGGCAAGTCGGGAAGGATGAAGGCGGCGGAGATGGCGACACCCATCGTGACGGCACCCTCGATCCAGAAGAGCCAGCGCCAGGCAGCGTGGCCGAGGACGCCCTGCATATTGGAAAGGACACCGGCGCCGATGAGGGCGGAGAAGGCGTTGGAGATGAGGTTACCGCAGAAGAGGATGGCGTTGCGGGTGGTGAGCTCGCGGCGCGTGTACCACTTTGACAGGATCATGAGGGCACCGGGCAGGAAGGCGGCCTCGATGAAGCCCAGGCAGAAACGGGTGGCGACCATGCCTCCAAAGTTTGTGGTGACGCCGGAGAGAGTTGAGATCATGCCCCAAATCAACATGGCGGCGGCGATGTACCAGGACGGGCGGGAGATCTTGTTGATGACCATGTTGGAAGGGATCTGCATGAGAATGTAGCCGACGTACAGAATACTCAGGCAGGTGGCGTATTCGTTGTTGTCCAGCTGCAGGTCATCTTGCAGACCGCGGAGACGGGCGGCGGCGATGTTGTTTCTGTCGAGGTAGTCTGGATGCCACGTTAGGTTACAAGTCCGCGATCAAGTGAGATAACATCTTCGTGAGTGAAAACATACTCATGATGTAGATGAGCACGAACAGAGAGCATCGCATGTCAAGCTTGCGCTTCATGCTCTTCTCGACTGCCGCGCGACGCTCAGGGCTCATAGCCCGGGGCGCGTTGGGGTCGGTGTAGTTGTTCTCGACATTATCGACATCGGCGCCCTTGAAGTCGGCGCCTTGGGTGATCTTGTCGTTCTGTGTCGAGTCCATCTTTGCGACTGTCCTGTCGGATCTCTACACAACTAGGAGAGAGTGTGTCGAGGAAAGAGGATGGGAGACGGAAGAAGGAATCAAGAGGTCTTCTGGATTGACTCGAGATTGACTCGGGAAGGAGGACGATGGGAAAGCTATTAGTTATAAAGCGGTGGCAGGCTTCGGGCAAGTCCCGATCGTCGCGGGGAAACACTTAACCAGCGCCCCTCAACAACATTTTTATGTGGGGTGAAACCAGCTTCACCCATCACAGCAATAGTATACGCGCGTGAGAGGTAAGAATTTCGGAAAATGGGCCGGGATCTGGTACGAGTCCCCAGTCCCCCAGTTCGGTCTGGTTGCAGTCCAGATTCTCGACCCAGCGTCGCGGCATGCGGCTGCTTGGAACGAACGCGATAGCTGCTGCATTGGACATGGAGCTTCTTCGGCCGCACCAGGATGACGTGGGGAGGGATAAGACCATCCGTGGGGAAGTTCAGGTCGGGGTTAACGGCGGAGCGAGTGACTTGGACTCTTGGAGTGATTGAGATTGACAACTTCAAAGCCTCGAATAGAGAGAGAGAGAGAGAGAGCGCGCGCGCGTTACACGGAGCTCGTTCTCGCCTCCGTCCGCGGGGAACGTCACCTTGCATCCCGGGGGGAACAAACCCGTCGAACCAGCTTTCAATTGCCCCATTGCCCCCAATGGCCCGGGATTTGACGGTCAGCTGGAGTTCTGGAGGGCCCCGAAGTGGAATCTTTGAGATAATAGCGCTCCCCCAACTTTTTCCTTGACCATACTCCAGTCCCCAGCTTCACCCCAAGGGGAATCCCACAGTTTTCTGATCTTGGCTCTTGGCTTTGGTTGAAAGTGGGAGAAGACCAAAAGTCGCGCGAGTTTGGGGGTCAAATGTCTTTGATTCAAGGTAGGACCGAGTTTTCTACCGGATGGTCCCGCTAGCTGGCCGCCAATTCGCGACAAGTGCCGGTTGAGATCCATCGCCTTGCGTCTGGCTGGCGTTGGAAAAGACTCAAGCGTGTCAAGCATCTTTCTCCGCGCGTGGTGGGACGGGGATTGGGGGAGGAGGAGAAATACAAAGTGGGCAGCGTGGGGAAAGGTCCGAATGGAATCGTCCAATGGAGTCCTCACCGACTGAGCACGACCTGTCTTGTTACGGTCAAGATTGTCGGCGCTCTACTCCTGTTCCGGGATGCATGGCCGGCAAGGGTTGCGTTCGACCAACGACGGGGCGCGGAGTCTTGCGGAGTTTAAACGATAGTGACGTGAGCGAGCCCGTTTCGAAATGTTCGAAATCTCCTGCCTTTTCCGAGGTCTGCTGCCCAGATGCTGTCAAGACTTCGACGCCCAGGCAAGACACCAGGGTGGAAGAGGAAGAAACCAAGCAACCAACAGCTCACGTGGTCGCAAATCTTGACTGCATTCCTGAGGATGACGTTTCAGTGCCATTTCCTCTGACAACACAAAACGTGGTTCCCGACCGAGGACCTGGTTGAGATCCTCGTCGCAACGTTGAAGTCTGGCCTGGGCGCCTGGGGTAGCATAAGTATTCCCCATGCACGTCAAAAGAAGATGTCGCCCAGAGACTTGGGACGAGGGTGGCGCTTTGCCAAGATTGAAGTTTTTTCTTCCCCCAGTATATCCGTAAAGAATGTCTTGAAAGCCGTTCGCCGAGCTTGGCGTCCTTGGCCCGAACGCGAACTCATCATGAAATTGTCTCCTCGATTATAAATCTTTTCCGCTTCTCCGAACAAGGAGTATCCGTAGATGCTTGGGTAGGCCTGTCCGAGGCTGCAAGCCTCCCGGTTGTGTCGATCCTCTTCTTACTGCTTCTGGTGCTCGCTCAGTATCCGGTTGGTGGCTTGAAAGCCCGCATCAGCTAAGACTAGGAACCTTGAAGCAACGCGCCGGGCACAATGCCTCTGGTCCGGCCAGAACCCCGTGCAGCATCTGCCGTACTCTTAATGCGATGCAAAGTGTCCGTTGCATCCGTTCACTCATAGTGGCCTGTAAGAGAGTCGTGCCTTCACTTCCATGAGGCGTTAGACTCAGCCATCTAAGATGAAATGTTTCTATAGGTGGCACCGAGATACCGAGTATGTCTCAACTGAGTTGATTGAACCTCTGTCTTTGAGATTATGTCTATCCTGCTAAGATAGAGAGACTGCCTCAACATCTTAAGGGCACGACCAAAGTCCTGGCTAATAGGTGCTGGGGCCGGAATTCGAGTCTCGGTCTACCTAGTAAAGTCCATCCACTCATCGATGCTTCGGTTGGACCTCAACTTGAGTCCGTCCGTCTCGATGGGCCTAACGCTCAAGGCTGCACCGGAAAGGTTGTCTAAGTCTTTGCCAGCTTTTCCCCAAAAGCTCCCATTCTTTCTGGGCTTGCCAGTCTCGAAATATGCCTGAGATGCCTGAGTTGACGATGACAACTTCCGGTGCTAACGGCGTACGAGCTGTACTTTCGGCGTTGATCTCGGCAGCCAAGCTCAATGGGAACTGCCCTCTGAGATTCGCGTGTTCCTGCTTTCGTGATTCCGCTAGCTGCTAGACCAAATGCTCTTCTTAATGTCGTCGCGGCAGCTTCCGAATCGTGAAGCTCGTCTTCCATAATTCAGTGACTTTCGGCTCAGGACATTGTTGCGCCCGAATCTCCACTCATAAGCAACCTCTCAGCGGCTGCCTCATCATCCTCGTCCGAATCATCATCGTCATCATCCCCGCCCATCAAGTCGATGACCAGAACAGACCCTGAGCTTAGCGTATCTAACTGGAAGCCAGCCTGCAAGACCTCAGGGGCATCAAAAATGCAACCGGCAACATCGAGGCTGATGTCAGCGTCCTTAAGCGCCAAGCAGACGAGGCGGAAGTGCTCGTGGTGCTGATCTGTGGCATCATCCCCGCCCTTCTCGCCGTCAAAGATCAAGACGACATTGCGGTGGCTGAAGCAGAATATGTCATCAACCTCAGGTCTAGAGACATCTCTGAGAGCGGCCTCTAGCTTTGATGGTTCGGTCTGGGCATTGGCTGTGAGCCGGGTAAAGATGTTGCCGTTGAGGAGGGCTTTTGCTGTGCTGGGTTTGGATGGGGAGAAGATCGTGACGTTTGGCGGCAACGCTGGTGCGGCAGGAGCCGAGGAAGATGCCTTTGGATCCATGGCCGATTATGAAGTTATTCCTGTGCAAGATATTACGTGCTACAGGATATTGTCCGTGTTGTAGGGCGTTATCCGTTGGCCTGTCTCAGGAACGAGGCATGGACTGCAAAGTTTTCAGGGATGACTAATTTGAAAGGCGGAGAAGACGTGGGGGTCACCGGTGCCGAAGAATCCCGCGGGCGGTCCGATGTGGGTCTAGGAAGGCCGGCGGTGCAATTGTATCAGACTTGGTCGTACTTGCATCCCACGAATAAATGAAACAAATAAGGGATCAGGTTCTCAGACGTCGTTAATTCTGTGATTGTATTAAAGTGCTCTCATCGTCGGAACATTCTTCAGACTCCGCCTTTGCGAGTCTAGGCAACCCTAAAAGGGAACATGAAGCATTCAACAGAGGTTATTGTTGCTTTCCCTTATTGAGTTCTGCGTACTAACACCGTAATTTCAAAAAAACTTCTTCGAAACATTCAAGACCTTGGCGGTTTGCCGTATTGCCGTATTGGGGTAAAAGAAGCAGCAATGGAACAAGGTGAGAATCATCACGTAGCACTTTCAAGGGTCTCGTAAAACTTAGCCTTGTTGCCCGCTTGACGAAGTCTTCTCACCATCCATCATGAACCCTTTTGAAAGATGAGAATAACGGTAATACCATCTCGTTGAGAAATTCGGTGTACAGTGGTCAGCATAATGATGCAGAAAGGGTCCCGAAAAGTCTGAGGTTTGACGATCTGGCCGATCGCTATGTGTATGATTGGACTGTGCCGTACCGTGTGAACATGAGTTTTATGAACTTCCCACCACTAACGCCCGACAAACGCCTACCCCGCGTCATTCCGAGTGGCGCAAGCTACTTTGAGCGACTCTCATGGCAAGTCATGGCCTGAGGTGGTCATCTCTTGTTGCGAAAGTGATGAGGCGTGACGACTTTCGGCGACTTGATCTTCAGTCAGTGATGATCTGGGACTAGGCAGAGTAGATATCTAGTAGGGGAAATGATGTTCATGATCATTTCTCACGGGAATATGAGATGACGTGGATGACAACGTGCTTACGTCTGTTCCGCGGCATGAGCAGCGGTATTGCTCACCAACTCGGAAACTCCCCTGTCTTGGAGGATTATATAAATCCTCCGGGCTTCGCGGTCGAATGCAATTCCACATCATCGGTACAAGATACTTTGAGATCCAACGGAAACAACTTTCAAGTCCAATATCATGAAATTACTTACCTGAATCGAAGAACTCATTGATAAAAACCATGGCACCCAAGTTCGTCTTACCCAACGGGTCATAAGTAGTACTCAATGTCATTGATCAGGCTTAAACTAACCGACAAAACATTACAGCTCGAGCAGACGCTTTTCTCTCTCTCTTTCTCCTGCTTCAAAGGCAACGAAGAGGGTCTTGGCTCAGCGGTCGAATAACCGACGCTCTGTCGATTCGCAGGCGAGCTCATCAACGCTTGGTGATATGCCAGTTGTAGAGGTCGAGAGTCATCTGACGGCACCGGCTGTCCGATGGTCGACTGCAAATCGGATTTGAGTTGATTTGTCATGATTTAATATGTAAAGGTAGCTGGTGGATTATGTTGTTACGAGAGCTGCATGAAATAAACCCAGTGGCTGGCTCGACCACTTGGCAGAACTTGATGTTATTCGATACCCAGGACTGACAGGAAGAGATGAGCACAATCAGAAGCTGCCAGATCATTATTGATATATTCAATTTTACTGAAGCCTCACACTGCCTCTTGTCCCTGAATCTCACCCATATCATCATGCATTGAAACTAATTGTCTCAAATCCTTCTTGCAGCAGTCTTGGTATCATTCGATTCGAGTTCATTCAGTGAATGTGCCAAAAACTCTTCTTCGTAATTATGCACTTCTAATGCTGTGAATCGACATGGTCTGCAATGAGGGCGATGATGTCACTCGCGGAAGCAACTGGGCTGATGCAACCCAAGATATGCTGGTCTGGTCTAACCAGAATTGCACTTCCCTCCGAGAATCCACCCTTCGTATCGTACAGTTCCCTGTGACTGTCAGACGCGAATTGGAAGTCGACGTCTGCACCCCACAGCATGAAGCGGGAACTCAATTTCTCCTTCAGAGCCTCTTTGCATTCTTCAAACCGTTGGATCCAAGTTGTTCGACATGGTACAATAAGAGAAAATGTGCCTGCATTCGCCAGGTCGAGTGTGGAATAGCGCTGGGCCTCGACTTGCTCATTCGAAAGCTCTTTCACATACGATGTGTCGATGGGTTGGTGCGGGACCTTCCGTTGGTCATTCGGTTCCGTGAACTTGATCCAAGCATGTGGCAACCTGGCGCCGGCCTGGAACTTTGGCGTAAAGTCGGAAGCATTCGCCGGTGGCTTTGTATCCCCGTACACATACCCAATGTGAATCTCGAGCTGAAGTAGACTAAGTCAACACATGTATCAAGCATCCAATTTGATGGCGATGCACCCACATTGTCAAAATGTTCACGTTGTCCCTCGACCTTCTCGGCGATCAAGTCCTGCTTGGCCGGGTCGTGAATGGCTTCATACATCCGTTTCCGGGCCTCGTTGAGGTCTTCAACATCTGCCGTCCCGATGGCCTTGAGGAAAGAAAAGATAGACTTCCCATTCTTGACACTCTGAGCTGCCGCAATGACGGCAATGGGTCGTCTGTCAGTCTCATATGTGTCGAGAATACGTGGATTTGCCCAGCCCTGGTGTACGGCGGCGACCTTGTAGGCAAGGTTGTGGGCGTCAGCCAGGCCAGAGTTGAGGCCCAAACCACCGGTTGGAGGGAATGAATGTGCGGCGTCGCCGACCCTGTGATGATGGGAATTAGTGCATTGCCATCTAGTGGGAAACTTGGAGTTGCTACGTACAAGAACACGTTTCCGTGACGATATTCCTTGGCCACCTTGCGGCTCAACACCCACGGTCTAAAACTCTTAATCTGGATCGGTATATCTTGTCCTATCGCAGCCGACACTGTGGCATGTGCGAGTTCTTCTGTCCACGTTTCCACGGGATGTCTTTTTGACTAGTTCAGACAACAAAAGTAAGCAAAGAGGCTAGCCTTCAGAATAAGAGAATGCTCCGACTTACATCAAAATTGCTAATCAGAACCTGGTTTCCATCTATGTCATATGCAATGATAAAACCGGAGCAAGCAGGGTCGGCGATCCAATGCAGCATGCCTACGCCATTCTTCACAACTGGTCGAAGATTTGCATTGAAATGTATTGTCATCATTGTCTCGTCTGCGTCCCTTTTGTAAGCTGAATTGCATGACACGAACTATGGGAAAACTTACATCCATCTTCTCCCTCAGTCTCAATCCCCAGAAAACGTCGGACTTGGCTCTTCGCTCCATCACAGCCAATAACGTGCCTGGAGGTGACTGTCCAACGACGCTTCGTGGAACGCTCTTCAACCACGGTCGTCACTTTATCGCCTCGCTGTATGGCAGTTAGTATCTCGCCTCTCAAGCTCATACAAGTACTCGCAGCTTTTTCAACTTACCTGCTCACACGAAATGAAACCAACGCCTTTTCGAATCTCAACATTTGGATCATTTTCTAGATGTTCTGCAACGAATTTCTCAAAATCAGGCTGTGGGATATTGTGGATCATCTTCATTGATACACGTGTTAGTGATTGAACTTGAAGAAGCTGAGTTACGAAAATTCAATTGCTTCCATACCTCAGGTGTACTCTCTAGGACACCAGCGTCCATTCGTTCATACGGGAGGACTCCAATCTTCTCGCCCGTAAGATTCGTCAAGAAATTGACCCAGTAGGCATCATCACGAGGCGACCCCAATTGACGTATCGTTCTTGTGTCAAGTCCATATTGTCTACATATCTCAAGGGTTCTTGGGCTCAATGCATGGGCTTTAGGTGCAGCCAACCGTTCAGGATACTTCTCAATGAGAAGCGATTTTACTACTAGCTGTTAGCGTTCTACCCCATCAAACTGAGAGAGCCCACAATTGCACAGGCCTACGTATCAATACTTACCACCATGTTTAGACAACATGTATGCTGTGAACAGACCAGTCGGACCACCACCTGCGATGAGAACAGGTACCTCGACTGAAACATCTCCCACATGAGTATTGTCTGGTTTCAAATTACAAGACGAGAAGTCAACCTTGTAAGCGCCCTCTGGGCGTGATGGCTGGGCGATTTCAATCATCATTACCGCCGGCCAAACTGTTTGTTATAAAAGACAGAACTGTCTCTGCTGAAGAAACGGGGGAAGACGACAATACGGTCGTCTTTATTGCGGAAGAACGCCGATGGGATATGCTGGGAGGCTTCATCCCGAGGCGCAGCGGTTTCCGACAGACGGCCTCCTATTCGCTGGAGGCGTTGGTCCCGAACGAGTCATTCCGATTCGTCCATGTTTTCTGGGGTAAACGTCTGAGCGACGTCGACGTTCATGACGCTTTGTGATCCTCTCACTGCTCAGAAACTTTGACCGAAGCTTCCTTGTCTCACAAACACCCCTCGAGGGCGAACCCCCTGCATGGCATGCCCCAGATGATCGTTCCGCTCCGCCCGCTGTACTAGTGAGCTGTAGCCTCATAGCCCCGAAGCCCCGCTCATGGTTCGCGTTTCTTTTTTTGTGCTTTCCTCTTTCAACGTTTACCAAAAGTTCCAAGTTCCAAAACCTCTGCGCTTTTGCGATCTTATCAAAATGGAGACGGAGATCCCCACTGCAGCCGTTAGATCGTCAGACAACCCGAACTCTGGTAACAATCTCAAGAGGAAGCGAAGGCCTCGTGCGCCGATAGCTTGTGGTACATGTCGGGCTCGTAAAGTCAAGGTCGGTAAAGCTCTGATGATGCCTTCAATGAACATACATGTTGACCACATCCCCTTTAGTGTGATGGTAGTTCGCCGTGCTCCAACTGTGTTCGTGAGTGTGTTGTCTTCCCCAGGATAATTACTTTTGAGGACTGAAATGGCCTCCTCAAGGACACGAATTCTCGTGCTCGTACAAAGAAGGACAAGAAGACCCGTATGTGAGAAGAACATGATGAGTTCTGAATGGGGTTAACGCGTCCCACAGACCGAGTAAGAGGTCATCCTCATACGATCCCACCGGCCGCCTGCAACAACGTTTACAGCCTCAACCTCAGCTGATACCTCAGCCACAGCCATTATTGCCTGAGCATCTTCATCCATCACCAGTCAGCCTAGATGAACCAATTAGGCACGAGAACCCAATCCAGCTGAACCCACAAGAGCCAAGCCGCATGGATAGAGGCTCATCAACATCTTCGGAACAAGAAGTAGACGGCCTCGGTCAGGTCAATGAGCACACTGAGGGTGCCGAGTTTTACGGACCCACTGGGACATTTTACTTCCTCGCCAGGCTTCGCTCTCGGGCGAACACACAGAAACAACCGGAAACCGGCACGCACCGTAAGCAAAGCTCCATTGTAAATCTCCTGCATAGTTCGGATTACTCGACGCCTCCGGACTCTCGCATTCTCGGCCAGAACCAGTTCGCAAAGGCAAGTCCGCAGAGCAATGGCGGCAGAAGGGAGTCGTATCAGCAAGGCGTTGTTGCCGATGTCGTTCTCAGCGCCGTGGATGCCGCGTTTGCGACCGAGCTTGAGCGGGAATGTGTCCGCCTGTACTTCCAAAACTTGCACAACATCCACCCAATCCTCGAACAGATGACCTTTCTCAAGAGATGTGAGGAAGAAATATGGTCGAGACTTTCGAGGCCAGATATCATAATCTCTGCACAAATGCGTCGGGAGGCAAGGTTCCTGGCACTGTACAATGTTGTCATTGCGATCGGTGCCATCACCGCGGGGGAGACGTCCTTACTCATGGAAGACCACACCAAGGAGTTCTTGGATCGCACTGGACAAACCAGCGACGAAGAAGCACTCTATCCCCCTATCCGACTAGCAAGAAGATTCTTCGAAAGGTCGAGGCTTCACCTCGAAGACATCTGCGAGTCGAGTTCGCTTGAAACTGCGCAGACACTATTTCTCATGGTCAGTTCCAGGCAAAACGTCCAATGTGGAGGCATCTAGAGCCCGCTGACTTACTTCAACACTGCAGTCTGTATTCGGTCAAAATGCGATGAAGCCTCACAGTTGCTACATGTATAGCGGCATGGCGATAAGGACTGCGTCAGCCATGGGTATCCCAACTAATACCCGTTCAGAGACAAGCCCAGAAAGCTTGCTTTGGTGGTAGGTGACCACGAAGATGCTCTTAGTTGTGTGTAGTGCTAACGTACCAAGGTCTCTTTACTCACACGAGATGTAAGTTGCGGGCTCTGACTGAACAAGTTAGTTTGGAATGCTGATCATCTAGCGAAATGTGTTTTTCTGCTGGGCGTCAGTCAGGACTCCGGGCTCCAAGCTCCTACTCAATACCCTTCCCGAAAACCTCTGTGAGTCTAGGACCCGACTAAAAGGCCAAGCGCATGTTGCTAACAAAACCATCGAGCATTTTCCCAACTCGGCATATTGTCTGATCAATCCCATGGTTGACTTGGCCAAGATCCTCATGTGGATGACGGACAACTTGGGTCTGCATAGTAGTCACACATCTTTCCAAAGGCTGTCACAGATTGCGCTCAATCTTGACAGGGAGTTGGACGACTGGAAGTCTGGACTGCCGAGACAGCTCCGATTTGACACATCGTCACTTGAAGACAGCGAATTTGCCATGAAGCAAAAGACCGTTCTCAAACTACGTATGCTCAACTTCATTGGCTCTTCATGTCATTGCGCTAGCGTTACTAACGTACACGAACAGGTTTCCTAAACGCCAGGATACTTCTTCACCGACAGTTCATCATCTCAAAGACGCAAGAAGCGGACCGTAACACTGTCTCGCGACACGTCACGTCATGCGTCAAGGCTGCCACCGAGACTATCAAGTTCATGCACACGAGCTACCTTCACCGACCTTACTTCAGGACATGGTAACACCCTCACACTCATTGAGTCTTACACCCGTAGAAAGCTAACTCAAAGTAGGTGGTACAATTGCATGTACCTACTAGACGCCTGCATGGTCCTCCTACACGTCCTAATCTCCAACATCTGCCCCTTCCCCGCCGAAGAGGTGATGGAAAACATCGAGTTGAGCCTTGACATCTTCAAGGCAATGAAGATGCTCGCAGTAGCCAGAAGATGCGCCGATATTGTTAAAGAACTGCTCAACGTCGCAGCGAAAACACATTCAGTACAGCAGCGCCAGACGAGCGTGGCTACAGAAGCCGAGCCCACGCTTAGGATGCATGATGATGTTAGCCAGATGATCCAGACTTCTCCCGCATTCATGTCAGACGGAATCGGCCTCCATCCTGGGGACACCGAGCTTGGAGACGCCATGATTCCTGGGGACTTCGATGCGAACTTGGTAGATCCAAATGTTGTCTGGAACTTCTTGAACTTCGAGCATTGGAATGCGTGGTCTGATGCAGCCTTCAGATGAACATTGTAACAACAGCATGGAATCAGGTATGACACAGATAGCATACAATTGCAGCGTGTAGAGCAAGGCTCTGTGGAAAATTTAGATGAGCAAGGAGCCCAACCAATTTTCTAGTGACCGAAACGACCTCGTCTGGTTCTCAGTGAATCTAAATAAGCCTTTCGGCTGCATGCGCATTGTATGCACGAGATCGCCTCAGTGTTACGTGGAGCATCCCTCAGCTTCCTGATTTGGGTGGGATTGGTGGAACAAGCAAAGCCGTTAGAAGGTGGGAGATCAGCTAGGTTCTGCATCAAGTCTTGGCAGTCCTCAATTCACCAAGATGTCAGAGTTGGACTCTTGGATTTTGAGGGCGTCTGCAGGTCTTGGCGGACAAAGTCATGGTGAATTTACCACGACTAGCATTCATCGAATAACGCCAGATATTGCCACCAGTTTCGAACTCACAGCAACGCAACATGATCGCACGCAATGACTCTTTTGTTAAATCGACAAAGTCAGTCCACAGGTACCTCACATATATAAAATCAGATTCAAATTCGCACCTCTCGCCACATCCCTCCGTGCTTTAGTCCTCGTTCTGGATTTACAACTATCATCATGCGTTCTATCACTATTTCAGGGCTAGTGGTGACCATTGGCCTTGTTTCCGCTCAGTCAACCAAAACCACCTCGACCCGAACGACCTCAACAAGCACCATAAAATGGCAAGCCTCCGGAGGCGTATCTTGCCCACACCCATCGGTCAACACGAAATGGCCAACAGCCACGGGAAGCACTTCGTTCCCCACTGCCTCTTTGATTCCAGCCAATGCAATCTTTGATGGCAAGATGGCTCTCTTTGATCGCAAAGGTAGCTCCGGCGACTGCAAAGGGCAAGCTGAGCAAGATGAGGCTGCTGCTGTGTTCATCTTGGAGAGCGGAGCGACGCTGAAGAACGCCATCATCGGCCCTGCTCAAGCTGAGGGTGTACACTGCCGCGGTCCCTGTACCATTGATAACGTCTGGTGGGAAGATGTGTGTGAGGACGCGGCTACGTTCAAAGGTACGGGACCGAGATACGTCAGGGGCGGAGGGGCGAAAGAGGCCAGTGATAAGGTCTTTCAGCATAACGGTGAGTATCAAGAGCTGAGCTGCCATGACACTTGATCTAAGCACGAAAGTTCTAATATCGTCGACTCGAAGGTGAGGGATGGCTGCACATCGACGGCTTCTATGCCAACAAATTCGGGAAGTTCTACCGGTCATGCGGTAATTGCAGCCAGCAGTTCCAGCGACATGTCAACATCACCAATTTTGTTGGAATACAAGGAGTAGTCAGTAAGTTACATGGAAGATTAGTTTCCAGCCAGGAGCTGCTCGTTTCTGATCCTTAGAAATTCTTCCGTGCTAACAACTACTAGTGGGGGTAAATCAAAACTATGGCGATACTGCTACTCTGTCCAACTACTGTCTCGCAAAGATTGGAGTTATCTGCACACGCTACGAGGGCTGCGTCAAGCCGTGCGAAGCTGGGGAGATTGGCGAGGGGGCCCTGGCACCGTACTGTGTCGTCAACGGTCAAGATTGGTCTTGATATTGGTTCAATTTCCCAACCTTATTGCCGTCATGGGCGTGATTGCTTTTTTGAGACAACTTGTCCCATGTACTTGAATCGAGAAATAATCACACCGGATTAATACCTATTTCGTTGCTTCCTTGAAACGGTTCGACTGGGGAGTTGAGTCCGGCGCCGCCAACAAGAGAACGGTGCCGGCCGAAGCGGGGCCGGTACTCAGCTTACCGTGCATATGTGCCGTGATGATCTCGATCAACCCTCGTTGGTTGGCCAGTGTTTCCGTCTCTTCCGTCTCTTCAGTCAAATACATTTACCCCGCAAGATCTTACCGCGATCGCCTTCGTGCAACACAATTGCTCCGTGGGGAGCAGCCGGATAACCCGAGGAGGTATGCGTAACATCAAACTTTAATCTGCTTGAAGCCATTCTATGAGTCGGCTCTACACAGTAACTTAGGGAATGCCGAAGAGGCCCGGGCCCTTTGATATAATACATAGCTTCTCATACATCCAACCGTCACCTGCGGCATTCTTCTCGGACCCTTCGCGGCAAACTCCACACAATGAGCATCGTCAACGACCAAAACCACACAGGGTATTTGTTGGTGGTCTTGCAAATAGGACCGGCAATCTTTCTATTCTTTTGGGTTCTCTACCAGCGTGTTTTCTCGCCCTTCGCCAAGGTTCCCGGACCCTACTGGGCCAGCTTCTCTAGAGTATGGCTTGCGTATCACTCATATACTGGCGACCTTCACGTCGTGACTATGCGTCTGCATGAGGTCCACGGTAAGGTTGTGCGCATTGCGCCAAGCGAAGTGTAAGCACCAAGGGCAGTAAATCACTTGAAGTCCCACGACCCAGAGCTCACCTTTGGTGTTTTCTTTCCTAGGAGCATCTCAGATCTCACGTCCATAAAAACGATCTACGGTAAGACCTCGACATGCCATCTTCCTTACTGGGTTCAATGTTAAACATGAAATTGTCCAGGCGCGGGATCCAAGTTCCGCAAGTCCGACTTCTACAGCGTCTGGCAGGGTAGGCGTAAATTCGACATTTTCCCTGAACGAGATGATCGAATTCACTCCGCCCAGCGTCGTCTCATCAGTAGGCCATATGCGATGACATCCCTGAAAGAACTCGAGCCATACGTCGACAGCGCCATCCAGGTCTTCCTCGGGAAGCTGGGCGGCATGCTTGGGAGAACAGTGGATCTAGGAAACTGGGTTCAACTCTATGCTTTTGGTACATTCTCTTCCTCAGACTTCTCTCGCGTCACAAGAGACGATTTACTAATAGAAAATCTCCGTAGACGTGATAGGAGAAGTCACTTTCTCGAAGCGATTCGGCTTCATGGATGTCGAGTCTGATGATGGCTCCTTCAAGCAAATCGAGACTGCGCTACGATCTGCCGCTTGGATCGGCCAAGTTCCATGGCTTTACTGGACTTTTGACTACTTGTCTCCCATAATTGGAAACTGGCTTGGCATCGCATCTCGTCATGGAAGCTTGCGCAAGTTTGCTGCACGCGAGGTCGCTGCCAGACAAGACCGGGGATCCGACCACCAAGACATCTTGACGAAGCTGTTCGCCGTTCATAAAGAGAAGCCTGAGCAGTTTGATTACTCCGACTTGGTATCAATGGCGAATTCGAACATATTCGCTGGAAGTGACACAACCGCAATTTCGATCCGGTCAATCATCTACCATCTTTTGAAGAACCCTGAAGCGAAACGTCGACTTATTAAGGAAGTCGATGAGCACTGGAGACAAGGAAAGCTTAGTGATCCGATTACTATTGCAGAATCTGAGAATATGTCTTACCTGCAAGCGGCGATGTATGAAGGCTTGCGAGTACATCCTGCTGTCGGCATGACTCTTCCTCGTGTCGTGCCCCAAAGTGGCTATGATATTGGTGGCTACCACATGCCAGCCGGGGTAAGCATCGCCTCAATCTACACAACTCACAGTCATCTAGTACTTTGAAACCTGATATTGACTTGTCATTTGCTTAGTCTATCGTCGGCGTCAACCCTTGGGTTGTACATCGTAGCAAGGAAGTGTTTGGTCAAGATGTTTACGCATTTCGCCCTGAGAGGTGGCTCAAAGAAGACAGTGGCGACATGCGTAAGGTCCCCTGACTAGACGTGCTCCCCGTTTCTGACCAAGATCTACACAGACCGTTTTTTCTTCGCTTTTGGATCCGGAGCTCGGGTGTGTCTTGGTCGCAGTAGGTGATCCCGCAAGTATTGAGTAAGGTACAATAGCTTTACTAACCCATGAGCGTAGATATCAGTTGGATGGAGATGGCCAAGGTCCGACCCGTAAACATTGTGATCGTGCCCATTGCTAATGATAAGACCGCACAGCTTATTCCAACCCTTTTTCTGCACTTCGATATAGAGCTTACAGGCCCAGAGGCAGTCTTGGAGGAGAAATGCTAGTAAGTAGCCCGCCCGCCATTAGAAATGTACCTGATTAATTTGTTGATCATTGTTCCAGCTGGTTTGTTTCTCAAAAGGGCCTGAATGTCAGACTTCGACCGAGACAGCTACCAGCTAGGGAGGGGGGCCACGTCTAAAGTCTGAAGGCTATTTAGTTGTAGCTGGCCCTAGACCGAGAAACTTGCGTCGACACTTTCCCCTTTGGCATGATTGAGGCTGAGCTTTTGATTCTCATACATGTGAAGATCAACCTCAAAATTAGCTCAACTTAGTATCCCACGACAAAACAATTCGCAAACCTAGTCTTTCAAAGGATTCATCTCTCATGGGATGATGTGATCTCGTTACTATGATATCTTTGCTAAATGCCCTCATTTTCGAATCTGGCATAATGTGAGATTTATCGCGTAAGTAGATAAATCCGCTCAAATCAGACCTTAGAAGTCGCGTGCTCCGTTTCCTCCACGTCAATGGGCCCATCTCCCTTCCCATTCTCCGCAATCCGAACGTTCGCTTCTTCGCCATCAAAGATGACAGCAATTTCCTCCAAAGCTTTGCCCTTAGTCTCCAGGAACCATCCATAAGCGATGCAAGCCTCTACAGCCAAGATAGCAACATAGACGATATAGAATCGCCATCCAATGTTCTGAATTCCAATCGGGTTGACATATTGGTTGACGAAGACGGCTGCCTTGGTCGAGAAAACGTATGTTGCCATGCCCTTGGCGCGGATGGAGTACGGCAAGACTTCGACGGAGTAAGCGACCGGCAACGGTGAGAAGGCGATGCAATAGAAGACTTGGTAGATGAAGATGAGGGCCATGACGGCGATGCCGGCGGAGCTGGCACTGGTCTCGGCGAAGCGGGCTGAGGCGATGGTCCAACCGATGAAGACTACGAGCATACCGCAGGTTGAGATGCGGAAGAGGGGGCGGCGGCCGATACGTTCGACAAAGAATGCAGTTGTCAGGGCAAGGCCAAAGTTCCAGATATTGAGTAGGCCATTGACAAGAGCCTGGGTGTTCTTATTTGTGATGCCGACGGTATCCATGATTCGCGAAAGGTCTAGTTGAGTCAGCAATCAAATCCTACGATAAGGCAAAAGAGGAGAGTGCTACATACAGTAAGCAATCAGTCCGTTACCAGACCACTGTGAGAAGAAACCCATGCCTATCATGAGCGTTAGTAAGTTGAATAAAATCCTGTATGTTAGGGAGAATTCTTACAGATGACAAGGAACATGCGGTATCGGTTGCCCTTGGTCTTGACCATTGATGCCCAGGTAGTGCTTCCAAGTCCTTCAAAATGGTTAGTAGATACTCTGATTATCCATGGGCTCTCCAGACTTACTCTTCTCATTGTCAATGGCGGCCCTGATCTCCTCAAACTCCAGTCTAACTAGTTCCGTCTCCTCGCCTTCGCCGTGGTATTGTTTCAGAGCCTCCATGGCCTCGTCCCCACGATCATGTGAGATAAGCCACCGCGGGGACTCTGGAACAAACCAGATGGCTGCGAGCTGTACCACACTAGGTGCCATCTGTAGCAGAGACGGGATCCGCCAAGACCAGGTGCTAGGGATGTTTCGAGTGCCAAAGGTGATCCAGGCTGCCGCGATACTACCGACATACCAACTGTCACGCGCACATCGTCAGTCTCTGAATCTCGTTGTCTCCAACTACTTGATTAAGACGGTACATACCAGGTATTGCAGATAGCTGTAATGGTGACGCGATCCTTGGGATGCGAAAGTTCACTAACCAAGCTCGGCGCCGAAGTCGTTGCAAAAGAAAGACCGAATCCGAGGATAAATCTGCTTACCACAAACATGGCAAAGGCAGTACTCTCGCACTGCAAGATCGCACCAATGATCATGATGCAACTTCCCGTCGTGATGCCCCATCGTCGTCCAAACTTGTCAGCGACCCAGGGAGCAATGGGCGTGGAACAGATGCTCCCCAGAGCCATGATGGCACTCATCAAGCCAAGGACCGCGCCGCGCGGGTTGTCGAAGAAGTCATCAAAGTAGGACACGGTCTGGAGGGAGTTCATCATCGAACCATCGTATCCGCTCGTGGCGTACGATACAACGGCGGCGGGAAAGAGGAGGAAGTAGAGTTTTCGGCGGGCGGCAGATTTGTACCAGATGGGAGACTCCTGGGCGAGTTGCGCTATGCGAGAGGGTTGGTAGCTCTCGCTCGCGGCCGCCGGTCCGCCTTGCTGGCGAGCTCGTCGGGCTTGCTGGTCTTGCCTCGGGGCAGGGAGGCGTTGGCGGAGGAAGTTCATCGTGGCAAGTAGTATTGTAGAAGAACGGAGACGTTGAAAAGAACTCAGCCGGGAGAAGGGTGGCAAGGTTGGCTCAGTAGTGGAGATGGACTTCTGAGTTGACAACCGAGACCAGATAGCTGGGATCTTGCGTGTCCTTATATGCGCGTGGTCAAATTGTCCTGCCGAGGTGGAACGATGTCAACAACCTTCCTGGAACGCTTGGAGACTCTGCCAGGTTTTGCTCGTTGGATTGGTCTCAAGGAGTCTTGCTAGGTGACGGCGTTACGAAGTCGGCATATGGGCTTAGAAGAAGAAGAATTCCGATGGAGCGATATTACCATTGGCGCGGGAAGCTAGCCCTTCACACCTACACACGACAATGTTAGCAGAACCGTACGCTTGGGACGCAAAGGCTCTGCCTGCCGAAGAGGACTTGGGAACTATCGAGACAAAGACAGGGGTTTGGCAAGTCGGATGATGGGATGCGGAGAAGATCCGGGGGCTGGGGTAAAAGCAAACTTGGTCCCCACATCCGGGGCATCACGAGATGAAGTTGTCTGGACGAGTCTCCATGGGGAAACGAACGATTAGAACTTGCGGATGAAGTCAAGCTCGCCTGACTCGTCCGATTGTTTCCGTAGAACGAAGGGCAGCAAAACAGTGTAAACTAGTGAGAACAACACAAGTTGTGTAGCGTCGGCCGACGATAGTGCGGAGTAGGCAAGAGATCCCTGGTTCCTCTTTTCCACAAGATTGACGAATCATGGCCCCTCGGGGGAGCTAAACACTTCCCCCGATTGAGGCTAGACACCGTCGGGGCATTCAAAACCTTCCCCCTAGCGTCCTTTGAGTCCTGCGGCTGATGTCGTCCGTCGTCTAAGCTATGCGGGGCATCCAAATGAATCCCCCGAGTTGGGAACGTGGGGTCGGGGAAGCGTCGAAGTCTGCCCCGAAGGTCCAACGCGGGGGACTCTCAGTCGCGTGTTTGTCTTTGGCGGCGCGTATGTACGAGTTCAGTTAACCGATGCTTTCCACAGAGATGATAATAGGACGTCATGGGGACTGAACTGTTGTGTGGACCTAATGCGAAGACTCCGCAATGGGAGTGACGGATCCTACGAAGTTCTGGCTTGGTACCGTTGCGCACATGCGAACGGTCCTATTTAGGAGCTCGGCTTGCCGTTGGGGTCGTTTGGTCCCTGTCCCTTGGTTCTGCTATCCTCGCTCATTTTGATTCAATCTGATTGCAACAATGTCAAACGGAATCCTCAGAACGTCCGGCTCCAGCATTGTCGATGCTGAGGGCAAGCCTGTCCTTCTCCGCGGCGTAAGTGTCTACCACTTTACACCCAGCATGCGACTGCACGAAGGCCCATTACTGACTGCCTATCGCGATACAGACGGCCCTCGGTGGCTGGATGCTGATGGAGAACTTCATGAACGGCTTTCCCGGTCGTGAGCACCAGATTCGTGCTGCATTGCTGAAGGTGCTCGGCAAGGAGAAGTGCGATTTCTTCTTCGACAAGTTCCTCGAATACTTCTTCACCGAGAAAGACGCCGAGTTTCTTGCCTCAATTGGCTTCAACTGCATCCGCCTGTCTTTCAACTACCACCACTTCGAAGATGACATGAACCCCTTTGTGATCAAAGAGGAAGGTTTCAAGCATCTTGATCGCGCGATTGAGATTGTCGGTTCCTCCAATATTTCTCGTAGTCTTCTACCCGACTAATGTTTCTTCTTGCAGTGCGCCAAGTACAAGATCTACACAATTCTCGACCTCCACTCCGCTCCTGGTGGCCAGAACCAGGACTGGCACTCCGACAACCCGACCGGCTACGCTGCGTTCTGGGACCACAAGCATTTCCAAGACAGAGTCATCAACTTGTGGCAGGTGATAGCCAAGCGATACAAGGGAAACCCATGGATCGCGGGATACAACCCTCTCAACGAACCCGCCGACGTCGAGTGGACTCGCCTTCTCGCCTTCTACGATCGCATCGTCCCCGCCATCCGCGAGATTGATCCCGAGCACATTCTCTGGCTCGAGGGCAACACATTTAGCATGGACTTCTCCGGCTTCACAAAGGTGTTCGATAACTCTGTTTACGCGGTGCACGATTACTGTGGATTCGGCTTCCCGAACCGCATTGGTAGATACCAAGGTCTGGCAGATCAAGATGCCTATATCCGCCAGATGTACGACCGCAAGGTTGCTTTCATGAAGGAGCATAACGTGCCAATTTGGAATGGTATGAAAGACCTATAAGCTTTATTAGACCAATTACTAACAGTCAGCGCATAGGCGAATTTGGTCCGATTTACGAACGAAAGGAGTACAACCCAGACTATGAAGAGCACAACGAAGAACGATACAAGATGCTCGACAAGCAAATGGCCATCTATACCGACGAGGGCATTGGTGAGACGACCTGTCACACAAGATCTTAGACACATTTACTAACAGCTCCATCCGCAGCATGGAGTATCTGGGCCTACAAAGACGTGAACGTCATGGGCATGACCTACCTATCTCCCGATTCCGCATGGCTGAAGCTCCTCGGTCCCATGATCCGCAAGAAGCGCGACCTCGCCGTCGACAGCTGGGCCTACGACGATGCACACCTCCAGCCCAACCTATTCGGCCCCCTACACAAGTGGTTCGAAGACAACGTCCCCGCACAATACAACAAGAAGTACCCGTGGCAGTGGCGCATGCACATGCACGTGTTCCGCGGTATCCGCGGCATCACCATGACGGAATACATGATCCCCGAATGGGCCGATTACTTCAAGGACAAGACATTTGAGGAGCTCGATGAACTTGCTGCCAGCTGGAAGTACGAAAACTGCGTTCAGCGCGAGAGGCTAAATGAGTTGTTGAGCCTCTATGCGCCGATGACGCCAGGGGACAAGAGGTTGGAGGGCAAGGTGATTCCCTCGGAGGTTGAGAAGGAGCAAGGAAAGCCTAAAGAAACTGTATCTGGTGTTGGAGTTTTTGAGCTGGCTCCTGATGAAAAGAAGAAGCATCTTGCTCAGGCTACTGCAACTCCTGTTGCTGTTGCTTCATAGCCTCGACATCATCATGATGCCGTCTGGATTGCATACACTGGCGTTATTTGAGTTTCATAGAAAGATGACTACGGTTTCAACTCTACGCGATTTACTTGCAAGTTATCCTATACTAATTATCTTCGCTTCTCAAGTCAAGGAAGATTGACCATCAAAGCCCTAGGTGTGCTTGGCACTCATCGGGTTCTCCTGCTTGCCACCTTAGACGAGGTCTTTATCATGCAGAACGAGACTCTGTGTTGAAGATAAGGTAGTCTGTCATACTACATCGGCCTTTCACAAACTCATGTTCTTCAGGGAGTCCTTAGTTGCTGGATGAATCTGAGCAAGCCACGAGGATCCGGCGCCTAGCCCGAACATCACGGACAGACCTCCGGCAACATCCCGGCGCCGCGCGGCACTAGGACAGCCGGGGCGTAGCGGGGAAGTTCCCCACCTAATGCCCCCTGAAGTCACTTGAACGTGGGCCCCGACCAGTTAAATCCAGCAAAGAATTCCCTTTTCTCCAGTGGATTTTCCAGTTCCATCTCCGCAAATCGCACAACTCACTCCCGTACCCTTGTGCTCCCGATGCCGATGGGCGGCCGATCATGGATGATACCGCGCCGTCTTCCTCCTTCTCTGCGGCCCATTACTTTCCGGCACGACGCCGTGTATGGCAGGCATGCACCAATTGCCGGGCTCGCAAGACGCGATGCGACGCTGCTAAACCAAAGTGCAGCCTCTGCGTGACGCAGAACGTGGAGTGCGTCTACCGCGACTCGAACCAGCCGCGCATCGAGCAGAATACGAGGATCTTGTTGGAGCGCATTCAGATGTTGGAAGATCGCTTGCTTTCTTCACCGGTGTTTACTGGACAACAGCAACAACAGAGCCAGCAAGCTTCACAGCCGTCTTTAGATACGCCATCACCCCAAGCTACACGGCATGCTACAACTCCGGGGTCGGTACACCGTACACAGCCCGAGGCAGGTCTTGACTCAACGTCGATGAGAGACCAAACAGACGCGGTTCAGACAAGGAATGCTGACGGAGATGCTCAAATTCCAATCCCTTTATCCCATACAGCGAATGCGAACCATGTCTTCGAGTGGCCGATAGTAAAGCAGCTGCTATCAGAAACGGACTCGGAGAAAATACCGCCACGGCCAGCTCTTCCAGGAGGGCTGTGCTCAGCGGAAGCAACTGACATCTTCTTCCGCAAAGATGCAGGCACAGATTCTTCGATCTGCCCTCCAGAGTCCTGGAGATTATTCCAAGACCGGAGTCTGCCAGTATCCATCGATGCCGCTGATAGGTATCGGGAGGTGATCCATGAGTACTTTGCCGAAGTGAACATCTTCTTTCCTCTCCTCTCCCCGGAGGACATCGTCGACACTTTCAATGAAGTAATAGCGTCTGAAAAGACTGCAAGTGCGGTCTCGCCCCTTACTGCGCCGGCGCGGTACTGTCTATTGCTGTTGGTCCTCTGCATGGGATCCTTCGTCTGCACCGGGGATTATCGCATCTCGTTGGATGAAAGAGCAGGCCGAGATGGAGTTCAAGGCCAAAGACCTATAAGCTCAAGCATTATCGGAGACTTTCCAGGGATTGATGAACAACTATGGCGGAAAGCGCGGCTGTTACTGGGGTACATATCATCTGAAATCAGCCTTGAAGCAGCACAATGCACGATGTTGGCGAGGTCAGAATAATGCTTGTATTCTTCGAATTATTCTACCAAAACTGACGACTTGCAGTTTATACATGAATGCGAACGGAAGAGTAGCAGATTCCTTCCACTGGGCACATGCAACCGCCGTCAAGTGCGAGGCTCTCGCGAAAAGGTGTGTACTTAGACTTCAGACGCTTACGATTCCCTTCGGCGAGCGCTTAGGTTACTAAAACAAGCCATAGAGCTGCCACGGGCGCAGAAAACAATGACGGGTTCTCGGACGCCTTCCGCAGACTCTTTTGGGTCGCTCTGATCTACGAAGGTGACTTTGTGTCCGAGATCTCCATAACATTGCCGTCAGGTATAGCGCGATACGAAGACGTTGTGCCCTATCCAGCCCCCGAAACACCCAAGCAGCACAAAGACTTCACCGTGGCCCAGATGACACCAGAAGCAGATGTGGAGAGTCCGGCATCGACATCGTTCTACAGAACCGAGGAACTTGTCGCCTTCCAAATTAGCACAAACGCGGCAATCAGGCGGTTCCTCAACCGGGTCAACAGCGTTGTCTTTGACAGCAAAGACCAGTTCCGCATGACGCGCACTAACTACGCCAACTGGCTACTGCGGATCACGGAGGATCTCTGGTCATACCACGGCGCTCTTTACCGCAATCTGCCCGATTTCTTACTCACGAGCCAGCCTAGAAGAACGCCAGGGCAACAGCAGGAGAATGCGAGTTCACCTATGACTCCTGGCATCATTAGGGTTGAAGAGTTGGGCAACAATCCGTGGAACGTGTTGAGGCTCAAGGGGCGGTACTATGCGGGACAGTACATCATTCATCGCCCTTTCATCGAGTACGTGATGTTGAACATGGCGCACTTCGAGACGCATCCGTGCCGGGAGGCGATATTGGAGCGGTGTAGGATGTGTCTAGAGGGGTGTAAAGGGTTCATCAATGTTTTCGACATTGATCCTGCGAACAGTATCACTGGTTTGTTCGCTGGAGGGATGGTGTAAGTGTGAAATCCTTAGGCTGCAGAGCATTTCTTCTTTTGAGACCCGTCGCTGACATCTCCCTAGGACCTTCACCATGGTCACGATCCTTCGAGTGGCGACGATGTGCCCCGTCTTTAAAGAAAGCCTGCCTGAAGATATCGAGGGGGCAATGTTCGTAGGAAAGCGGAACTTGCGGCGATTTAGCATTAGCGTGAAGGAGTTTGAGTGGCACTTGAGCGTATTGGAAAGGCTTGAGGCGTCTTGTAAGAATAGAATGAGTGCTTAGGTAGCCGAAGACACATCGCTGTCGCATTTTGGGACGCTCGGATTTCGGAACGTCATGCTCGATGGATACTACGATCAAGCAAAAGTGTCACAAACTATCGTTCTAAGAGAATGAAGCTTTAGAACTGAATGGAATTCTTTGTGCGTGATTACGGTGCAAGTAACCTCAATCGAAGTCTTCTAGAAACCTCAATGCTAGGCTTCCATCGCTGCACTGTTTCGCTTCTCACATGTCGATCAGACGAGGTTGGTTGCATCTCCTTGGATCACACGAGTACGCTCACGAGTCGATTGTTTGGGGTGGCTGACTGAATAGACGTGAGTGATGTTTCATCTGAAAGATTGAGCGGTGTCAACGTGGATGCCATCCAAACTTGCGGCGTTGCAAGTCGCTGTAAGCGAAGCCAAATCCATGTGAACCGAAAGCGAATGGGCAAATGAAGATCTCGAAGACGAAAACAAAAGCTTCCCTGCAGAGTCAAATAGAGCAAGAGATGATCTTGTTGGTAAATCTACCTCATGGTTAAATAGAGACGAACATCCTGAGGCTTAGAGCTGTCCAGAGGAACTCAATAACCGTTCTGATCTATCACGCAAGTCATTCGCGCTGGTTTCGCATCTTTTTGCTCTAAATTCCTATCTCTATCGTCATTCGTCCTACTCCTCACAACTTCACTAATCTACTATTCAATTATCCACTCAATTTCGAACCAAGAAGAATTCTCGCCATAGACTTGAGCAATTCTCATCGAATATGAAGTTCTTCGCAAACGCCGCTCTCTTGATCCTGGGGCTTGCAGCCTCTGTCTATGCTAGTGCGTGCCTCTCAATGCTTCCGGCGCCAACACAGCCATCTGCACTTGCATGCTAACATTGACTCCGACAGCTCCCCAGAAAAAGGGCGGTGGCGTTGCAGGCCAGGCCTGCACTGATGGGACATTCAAGGGAACTTGCTCCGCAGACGGTCGATGTGGGTTAGAAATCCCGCCCAATGAGTTGTCCAGCCAGATTGTCGCTGGCCAATGTGGCCGATGATTGGATCCTTCTGCTGTTTCAATTGCATCACAGAGACAAACAAATAGGGCAAATGAATGTATTCAATGCCAAATGCACTGATTCCTTGAGCCGCACCTCTGAGCTTCTGACTGTAGTGGTGTTTTTGCGTGGCTTTTGTCGCATGTACAACGTAAGTCCAGCTGTGAACGCCGCTAGACTCTCGGCTATTTTCGGCCAGTCGCGGCTTTTAATCACCCAACTCCTGATGATATTCTCAGTCGAAGTCTAAGTTAGAATGCGTGAAAAGAGAAATGACGGTTTCAGGGTCTTTGACATTCATCTTTGTCTCAAGTATTGTAGTGAGTCACCTCGCAGCTCATTGGTAGAGCACCGAAAGTGGCTGCATCGTTCATTATGAATCATACCTCGTCAACGAGAAACTAAAACTTCATTGGCAGATTTCTTCAGTTATAGTGGACCGTCTCATTCATGGCGTACATCCTTGGCCTGAAGAGGCTTAGTCCTACGGCTCGGACTTCTGAGCCATCGACCCCGGTGTTGAGAACCCGTGGATGTTCGGAACACCGCCTAGCTTGTTGATCTGAAAATTATGTGAATGCAAATGATTATATAGTCCTGGGAATTATTCGAATGGAGCTTATTTCATTCCACCAATTCAGTCGAAAAGACCACTTCAATTAAGATACAACAACAGGATCTAGTTCCGCCACCTCTTCCAACCAAGACCAGCAAGAAGCTAATTCCACTCGAACGACCAATTATCAATGCCGGGTGCAACAACAACAGCAACAAACACAGCAACAACTGCGCTCCTTTGGAACTCGATGGACTCACTCTCAAAACAGAATAACAACAACATACTTAGTTCGCCGAAAGAGTCAATCGACTCTCACAACGCGACCATGCAACCCTCCATTCCTGGGCAATGCCTGTTCTGCCCCAATCTCTCAGCAGACTTCCTTGGCAGTGTAGCCCACATGCAAAAGTCACACGGCCTGTTTATTCCACATCGGCAACATTTACTCGTCGACCTGGAAACTCTCTTCAAGTACCTGCACCTAGTCATTTTCGATTATCGGGAATGTCTACATTGCGGGACAGAGAGGACAACGGTACAAGCCGTACAGCAACATATGATTGGCAAAGGTCACTGCAGGTTTGACCCAGCAGACCAAGACTCCGAATTTGGCGACTTTTACGACTTCACTTTCTCCGAGGCGGAAGGCAACGAAGAGAGTGACTTTGAGAGCGACATAGAGGAGTGTGATGTGCGAAACCAGCCGGCAAGCCCAAGTCGACAGCCGTTACAGGTTGATGAGGACTCTCTTCGGTTGCCATCAGGCAAGATCATATCCAAGCGATCCTCGGATCAAACTGGACTGTCTATCAATCATCTGAGACGCCGAATGCGGACCCCACCTTCACAGCTAGAATATGCCCGGGTAGAATCCGAAGAAGAGGAGTCTAGCGAGGACCTGCTGCACCATGGTGGGACACAGGCATTGTCTAAAAGAGAAAAGCGAGAGAGGGCAGTGATCACGCATCAGCTAGAAAACATGAGGGCGAATGATCGAAGTGCCTTGATGCACTTGTCTGCGTCGGAGCAGCGATCGCTGCTGGCGGTGCAGTACAGGAATGAGGAAAAGGTGCAGAAGGAGGAACGGCGTCGACAGGGTAAGATTGATCGAAAGGGGAACAAGAACTTGTACGCGTACTGGAACACAGAAACTCCTGTTTACCAGTGTGGATAGATAATGCGTTTTATTAGACCTCAATGAATGATGGCAATGCCTTCTGCGTCAATTTACTTGAAAAGTGGCCATGTGTTCTTGGTATTTTTGTGAGATCAGAGGTGGTTTGGTAAGCATTCTGATGAAAGCTGGAGATAGTTCCAAGGAGCCAGAACCAATGAGCTCACTTAATAGTGAGCTTAATGATGTTGATACAGATTCGTAGATTACGCTTTTAGAACCAACATTTGCGTCGTGCAGTAGACCGACTGGGTTGACCTTGCGTTGGATTGATGTGGATGGAGACCTGTCAAACGTCAGACAGATTGGCCGATTCCGGGATCTCCCACGGAATAGAGCAAAAGAGGAATTCTTGTTCATTTGACACGAATGTAATCACCTTGGTACTTGTCATTGGCCAACAATTGACTGGATGATACTAAGGGCGAATTTCGCACATAAGTCTTGCCCCGAATGCACTACGTGTATGGTTCTTGAGCCCTCTCAGCGAGAAAGGAGAGACGGGTGGTGAATATTTTTGTAAACTGCGGACTTTCTCACTTAAATCAGACATCTTGGCTACTATACCATGCGAAGACTGTGTAAACATGTAACGCCTTTCTCTGTGCCAATGAAGGCTACGAAGAAGACCCGGCGTATATCGATTCCTGCTAAGATCACGAAAAACCAAGCGGGCAGAACGTCGCAGCTTGACAATGTGCGATGCAGTTCTCCGTGCACGCATGCAGTGGAGGTTACAGGGGATGGGTGGAGGGGTTGGCACGGCTTCTCTCCGCGTACAGGGGTGACTCCCTTGCCCTGTGGCTGCCAATCTTAAGATTGCCGGCTCCATTAAGAGAGCGAGAGCGAAGTGCGAAGTATTTCATGCCGTCGGCTTAAGGTATCATGAATTGATTCTGGGACAAAGGTTGACATATGTACATCGTGGAAACAAAAGCCGGTACCTTACTTAACGCTGTCTTCTGTTCTAAGCCTTCACTACCTTATGAACTCTGTAGAGCCTTATAGAGCCAGTCACTCTGATTTCGAGGTCAGGGGACACGAATGAGGTTCAACCAACTTGACAGGTGCCGGTGTCATCAGCGAATTGTATTCGTTGGAGTCCAAAATCAAACTGGTCGGCAGTAGAAACAAGGTTGCCTACCGCACCTGAGCTGTACTCCATACACACATTTTCCACCCACCATTAAACAGACTTGATAAGGCGTACAATGTCCGACAGGCCGCTCTACTTTGTCCGTTGATGCAATCCAGTCCGCTGGATTGCTCCGTGCACTCCGTAGGCCTGTATTGTTGGCCCTAATGGGCACTAACATGGCCTAGGACAAAATTGCGTCCCTGTCACCCTGTCAAGCACGTTTCGAATCGAAATTAAAGTCATGGGCGTGCGGCGCCTGTACCGTTGCCATCCCAGGCGCGCTACCGCTTTCAGGTGACACTTCAATTCGCTGAAGGCTTTGGAAGTGCGCCGCCCAGCCGGTCACCGCGTTTCAGCTGCCCAGGCCCGCAGAATAGGTGCATCTTCACCCTTGCAAAGATACAGCTTGCTGGGATCGACGGCCCACGGGATGCACGGTGGACATGCTGGAGCGGCGGAGGCGGCAGTGATGGGACGAACAAACGTTGAGATCGGGCAGTTCGGGGGAGTAAAGGTGATCGATACTAAAGAAACGCCGTTGGCCTTCTTGGAGGGAAGCCTTTTTGGGTCTGTCAGTGTGAGGTTATCCTTCCTTCATCCAGTCCCAATCCCGTGTCTCTCTCTTTGACAGGTTTGGTGATAAGTCAAACCCCCCACTTCCTGGCACCCCCCTGTTTCTGGCACCCACAAAAACGATGGGATCACAACCCAACCTCCTCATTACTATTAACTATTGATCCTCAACCACACCCACTACAATACAACTGCCAGCCTCACTAGGGCATTCAGAGTCGCTGGATTCAGCCGTAATAACCTCCTTTTCACCCGCTTCGATTTGAGCCCGATGGATATCCCTGATGTTCGCAAACTTCGTGTTGGGATCGATCTGAACAGTCTTCCTCTTCCTAACTGCAGCTCAGGTGAGCCAGCTGCTGCTGGGCAGCTGCCAGTTGCCAGGCCTGCTCTGTGAAGCCTTTTTTCACCTTCCTGAACAGCAGCCGTTGAGTGCTGGTATCATTGTCGAGTTGGGTGTATAAGTGCAGTTGACCGCTGAGCTCTGCCAGCTTCCTGGGTGTCGACCAGACCACTGCAGAGGAAGCAGAATCCCATGGCTCAACAGGGGTAGTTTGTTGACCATTATGGCATCGCTTTTGCCCCGACTGGTTGGTTTGGGTGTGGTGGGCTTAGCAGAAGGCTCAGGTAATACCATAGGGTTCATCAGGGGCTTAACCATCGCTACAGGGTGTAGACCAGTCCACTTCTTCTGATGTTCGAGACTGATAGACCAGCAAGTCGAGCCTTCTGGTAACAGTCCAGGAAGTTCCTTTTACCTATAATGGTAGAGTCGTTCCATTGAGACAAGTAACCGAGCTCCTTCCGATAGGCTGACTTAACAGGGCTGAAGACAGACTGGTCAAGTGGCTGGAGGACATGAGAGGGTGTGGTGGTAAGAACAGTAAATGGATATTGTTAATATAGCAATTCCACATGAAGTCTGTCGTCGTATGACTCCCATGCCCATCCACAATCAACAGTCGAGCCTCGCCCTCAGCCTCGGGCATAGTCTGTGGGATAAACACCTTCTCTAACCATTCAATGGCAGTTAAGTCTGTAGTCCAGCCATTATCTGTTGCTGTAAACTCCACCCATCGTATGGAACCAGATGTAATGGAAACCACTGTTGTTGGACCGTCTTCCTTGAAAATGATAAGAGGACGAAGTGCCCTACCCAAGGCTGAGATACACTCAATGATAGAGACCCATGCCCTCGACCCAGGTTGTTTCTTGCGAACAGACGTCGTCTCAGCCATGCCCAGCACTAACCCATTAGCTCCTGACCCTCGAGGATGCCAGTCTCATCCATATTATATCTGTTGGCTGGTTTGATGTCCTTGATCTCAGGGATAGCAAGGAACTTAAACCAGTTCCTAATGACCTCAGTAGATGCCCCATTAACGCGTCTAGAATCGATGGAACGACTTCTCTGAACCTTAATGATAGGGTTCCTTCTCACGAAGGCATAGATCCAGCCTTTCCTAATGGTTTGGTATCCCCAGCAGCAGCCAGAACTCGCTCTGCGAATTCCTTCACCTGTTGGTGCGTTGGTGCGAGGCCCAGCGAAGCCTGAATGCGAACCCATTGTGCCAGCTACTCTCCTGGTCAGGAGACAGCCTCTGCCAGTCAGCAAAAGCCACTTTCCTAGTCTGACCACCTTGGAGACGTAGTTGGAGGGTTGATCGTGGTATCCCATACTCCAATGAGGCTCTCTTTTGACTCTTGCCGTTTGAGATGTCCTCGAGAGCCTGACGAAGCTGATCTTCGGTATATTGAGGCATTAGATATAGAAGAAGGTATGTGCAAAAAATGAGCCCATTTGGACTCGAATTGAAAATGTTGTGATAAAAGGAGGTTGGGGGTGGGCATTGCGTTGTGGTGGATTTTCGCGTTTTTGTGGGTGCCAGAAACAGGGGGGTGCCGGGAAGTGGGGGGTTTGACTTATTCGTTCGTTTCATTCCCCTTCTCTTCGTACTCCCTGTAAACCACTTCAAGATGCTTCCTACTACTTCTCTTTTGCTTGCCGGTGCTGGCATCGCCAACGCATACACCATTGCCGTGGCCGAGCCCTTCATGCGCAAGAACATCGATCCCGTCGTCATCCCGGGCCAGTACAAGAGCCACATGCACACCTTCTTTGGCTCCGACGCCGTCACCCTCAACACGAACACCTCTGCCGAGCTCCAAGCAGGTTGCTCAACTGCCGAGAACCCCAATGACTACTCCTCTTACTGTAAGCTGAAGCTCAACCCTATGTTTTCTAAAACCACAGCCATTTCCCTATCACAAGACGATCTCTTGCTGACTTGAACTCGAAAGGGGTCCCAACTCTGTACGTCAAGAATGACACCGGCATGACCCCAGTCCCCTTCTCTCGCTTCAGCGCCTACTACGTCGCCATCGAAAGCGCTGAGGTCGCCATCCCCCAAAACTACAAAACCGTCGCCGGAAACTCCAAGGGAACAACACAAGCCGACGTCGAGGACCTCGCCGGCATCCAATGGTTTTGCGAAGGCGACCCCACCGAAGAGGGCAAAGAAGTCGCAGCCTGGCCGACAAAGACGTGCTCCACGCACCTGCAGACCCTTCTCCTCTTCCACGACTGCGTCAACGAGCAGACTCTCGAGTCGGCCTACTCAGGCACCCAGAACTGGAAGGACGGCTTCAAGCCCGCCAACCGGTGCCCGGAGGGCATGAAGCGCCAGCCGCAGCTCCGGTTCTCGATTCGCTACGATCTCCGTAAGGTGCTTCCGGACGGTTGGAACGGCACGCCGCCTTTTGAGCTTGCGTGCGGTAACTCGTTCTGCTCGCACGGCGACTTCATCAACGGGTGGTTGCCCGAGGCTGCTACCAACATGCTCAAGGCGAATAGCAAGCGCGACTTTGCGGGTGTTGATGGGCCTGATGGAAAGTATAATGCTGGTTCCAAGTGCGGCGCCGAGAACGCGGTAAGTAGTACCCTCGACGCAATGATGGTGAGAGAGCATGGCTAATATCAATACAGAAGGATGCTGATCCCAACAATGGCACCTCCGACTACGATGAGAGTGTCAAAATGATGAGCGCCAAGCGCAGCATTGGTCAGCGCTCTCAGTCTCGTCGCGCCTGAAGAGGTATGCCTAGACCTTCCTCATAGGTAGACTATCACGAGTCACCAAGTTTGGTCCCTTGGGCACATAAGTGGCCATCATTTGGGGGGCCACGAAGTGTACAAAATTCTTCTCATTCTGGTGTACAATGTTGAGCTTCATGTATATATAACATGGTTACAAACTCCAAGTGCAGATGAATGACAACCAGAGAACTTCTCTGTACCGACACACTTTGAGGCACCATTCGACAACGCTGAAAAAACACAGGAAAGCATTTCTGCGACAGTGACATTCCTTGATACCATCCATATCTCTCCAAAGCCTAAGGGGTGTGCGACGTCCAATTTACGCTGGAACGATCGGGAAAAGTACCCGTGGTCTCAGCCTCATCATTGCATGTATAAAAGCTTGTCTTACAGCACGGAACGAACTCTGTGAGTTGATCACTGCAAGGGGTTAGTCCGAAAAATTCGCGTTCCAGCTCATCAGCTGGCAAGAGCTAACTTCTTGGCGGAGTGTCTCTGAGTATGGTGAACAGGAAGCGATGGAATTTGAGGTAGCTCTTGATTATGCCCAGGGATATAAGCATTTAATTACGGAGTATGTTTCAAAGCTGTCGAGGCACAATAGACCGACTGCGTGACCAAAAGTCTTCATAGCAGAGTTTATCGATTCTACATCTAGACCTCCACGTACATACAAGCTGTCTCTCGCCTTGGATCAACTCTTTGGAACAATATCGCTCACCCAGAACCAGAGACTGGTCAAAGACTCAGACTGTGCTCAGAAGATGTATATGCCTCATCCCATCAAAGCCGTCATGAAGACCAGCCCAGCAGCTATCACACACTTATAACTGGCGGCTGGGCCGTACTGTCTGGTAGAGCCGCTCACTGTATTGGTAATGGGAACTAGTGAAGCTGCCTGTTAGTCTATTGACCAGAGATTGACAGCAGAATGAATACTCACGTGAAGCGGTAGTTGACAGCGGAGAAAGTGCACCTGAATTGAGCGATCCCAGAGTTGGGATCTGTTCTGGGTTCGATTCATGCGCCGTCGCTGTTCCGTGAAGGCTCGCCGTTAGTGACGTGTCTTTGCTCAGAGGCAGAGTCTCGCCGGGGGCCGAGCCGGATTGCAAAATCAATCCTTGAGGGCTTTGAGCAGCAGTGACACGTGTAGACTCGGATGGTAATGCTGCGCTTGGGAAGTCGACTATGCTGAACGGGGAGTATTGAGGATCGATGCCAGCAGGTATGGTGATAACCCCCGACGCCCTGACATCCTGCACCACCACCGACACTGGGTGTGTGATTGTTGCCACGACGGGGGTTGGACCACACGTTGTGCAGGTCTGAACTTCTGTGGTAAAACCGAAGGGGACATCCGTAGATGTCACTGTAGGTTTCGAAGGCATCCCGCGATATGTCTCTGTGACGGCATACACCTGCTTAGCGAGGCCTGTGGAACAGAATGTATCGTATTCGGTCGTGTAGGAGACTGTGTGCACGCAAGTATCGCATCCGCATTTATTGCAATTTGGAGCCTGTAGTTGAACGGTGATGGGCTGTCCCGTGACGGCAGGTAAGCGGACAGCGGGAGTCGCCATGCAGCTGCCACACAATGGAGCAAACGCCTGCTTGGTGAAGCATTGGACGATGGTCGCAGTACGACATGCAAGGAGAGTCGTTTGGGAAGAAACTTCCATTATTGTGATGATGATGATGATGATAATGGCGAAGAACTTAACGGAGGGATTCGTCCTTGGTCGCTGGATTAAAAGTATTTCACTTCAAAAAATACTGAGCTATAACAACGTTTTATGTCTGCGGGTCTAGTGTAAGGGCATGTGGCTATTGGACTTGCCAGACTCACGTGGAGAAATTGCGCATTCAGAGGCGAGCTGAGGAACGAGTGTTTATGTCTCTCATTATTTAATATCGATGAATGCACATGCGCGAGCTCCGGTGCTCTTTGAACTGTATCAGTATGGGAGCCGCCCAGTGGCTGGCTGAGATATGGAATTTGGTTTCAATGAACATATCAGACTCAACCGTGATGTCGGGACGTCGACCGCCTGGGCCTCAAATTGTGGCGTTTTTTGAGGCGATTCTCGGCCTAGCCTAATAGCTGAATCGCGCCTCACGTTTCACTGCGTTCCAACTCAGTCTTTTCCCAATTATAATCAATTCGTTGTCTAATACTGAGGCTTAATGTCTCGTTGAAATAAGAGTTTCTATCCCGCGGAAATAAGATTTAATGTCTCGTCGTAATATTGTGGAGCATCTTCTTTTGATGTTGATTGCTTCAATTACGAACTACCCTTTGCTCACTTTGACTTATATCTATCTCGAATCATGGCATCCGTCTGCTGCTGTTTGAAAGGGCTCCCACTGTCATGTGCTTCACTTATCTACATCATCTCAATTGCCATCATGAAGCCTCGATCCATACTCAAGTTGCTTTTCCTTCCACAATTAATCTCAGCGTCTGTACAATCCTTTGACGACGAGAATGATTTATCAGCAACATGGTGCTTCACCTACCTATCGACTTACCTGGAGCCTACGACTATTGCTGCCGCTGGTTCAACAGGGCTAGAGACAACGCCAAACTCAACTTCTATCGCTGACGCACCTCTGTCAACGAAAACAACCATTGGGCTTTCCACAAATCCTACGCTTGGGTTTTCTGGAACACTAAGCCTTTCTCTCGGCACTTCTCTCTCGGCCACAGAACAGATTAGTCCGCCGGCAACAACCCCGTTGACAATACCTACTTCTTCTCGACAACTTTCTTCGTCTGCGGCCGCTGCATCTGATACTTCGTTCACTGCACTTACAACGTCTTTGTTAACCAGTCTGACCTCGAACACATTAATCCCTACCTCTGCCACTAATTCCGGTCCCTCTACTTCGACATCCGCGCAGGTCGCTGAAACTGTGATCTTCTTCGTTACCCCAGGGCCCCCTACGACTGTTAAGCGAAATCTGAAGAAACGGATGCCAGGTGGTTTTGTGAACCACAACACCAATGCAGATCGTCAGAGTTGCAACACCGCTACAGTGTTTACCTTGATCGCTGGTCAATTGCTAGACGGCGGCGTTCCAGTCCACTACTCTCCAGGTGAAAGCCATAGACCTTTTAGTGCCGGGGAGACGCCACCGAACAACGCTATAACAACCACATTCGACGTTTACCAGGGGGTCCTCCGATTTTACCATCCATCCCTGCCCGGTATCCAAGCGAGCTTCTGTCAGGATGCTACTGGTCAGGTTCATGTTACCTTCACGTCTCGACCGCCTGATTGTGAGCCAGTATCCCTCTTGGCATACGGAGGTAAGATTCACCAATACCCCTAGCTTTTCTACTTCGAAGAGGAGGTGGCTAACATCCGTGTCATAGTCGATCAGTGTCAAAACGGCCAGATACAACTTCCCGGCTTGCCTAGTCAGAGTACCTCGACAACGACTGCAGCAAGCGCAACTTCGTTGGTTGTCTCACCCAGCACCACAAGCCGTTCCACCGCAAGCGTTACAAGCGGCTTGCTACAAGACACTTCTACGTTCTCCCGCACTATGTCGACAACCTCTAGCGTCGCTGAGTTGCTCATACCATTGAATTCTGGTCCAAGTACCGTATCATTTATAACAGTATCGACCCCAGGTTTTGAACCTCTCTTTCCTTCAACGATTTCTTTAACATTACCATCGCCTTCATTATCTCCATCACTCTCATCATCCATGTTGTCTTCGCTGTCTCCATCGGCCTCAATATCGCCCTCGTTATCGCCCTCGCCGTCATCGACCACAACCTTCTTAACTCAGACTTCCACAAGGACAGAATCAACAACTTCCACCTCGGCACGCTTCTCAAACTCTACAAGTGTTGAGACATCAACATTCTCGGCGAGCATTTCCGACACTTCTTCAAGCACCTCGTCGTCGCTCACAACCAGTCTGTCCTCCAGCTCATCCATCATAACTCCAAGCTCGTCAATTACCACCAGCACAAGTTCTTCGCTCAGCAGCTCAAGCACGTCTGCGGCGCCTTCGTGTACTCCTGGGAGCGAGTTCGCCGCATACGTCTTTGATCGACTTTCTGCGCCTTGCCAAGAACTCATTCGGGTGTTAGCGGATTCAACCAAAAACCCGCGAAACTTGAACTTGACTTTGCTTACCCAAGGTAGATCGCCTCTTGGCAGCGGAGTTACTCCGCTTGTCTCATGGACCAACAACCCAAATCAGGCGAATAATCCCACAGACATCTATGGAGTGCGTGGTCCGACAGGCACGACTTGGAGCAATTCGTGTGAGGTGATCCAACACCGGGGCTACCTAAAGTTCAATCAGGCAGGGACCTTTACCATCACTATTGATGTACCTGATGATTATGGTTTTGTTTGGCTTGGAGGATCAGCATCATCGACTGCGCCCCCCTTTTCGGCGAGTGGCAGTCAGCTTGTCGGAGACGGCTTCCTGCGGCAGAGCATAAGAAACTATGACCTCGTTATAGCTAACACCCAAACATATGTGCCTTTTCGGGCATGGTTTGCCAACGCTGGCGGTCCCGGTCACTTCAATATGCCACTGCCGGCAGGTGTGGAATTCGTGGCGACTTGTCCAGATAAGTCTGCTACTCCCGTTTTCCCTCTATGGGCGGCAGAGAGGTGGAGTCTGTGATCAGCACCACATACACCTCATTGTCCTATTCTACGCGGCCACAAGATGTATGCCTTTCGCAGGATCTCCAATTTCGGCGCTGCTACAGTCAGACATACCCCTCTTCCCCTAGCACGCCGTCACCTCATTTCCTACTTCTCTATCAGCGGCGTATCTTTGTTTCGTCATTCGTCTTGCTCGGTCCTTGGCCATGGGTGTGGCTCGAGTGGCGGTTGCTGCTTGTGGCCGCGTTGGTTATCTAGTTGCCTTTCATTTCGGTCTTAATCATACGTCAAGTCCAAGCATACGTTGCGTTTACTCGTCTGTATGACTCATTGCAAATATATTCGTGCAACCTTCTCGCTGATGGCGCTCTGCTGCGCGAGCTACAAGACCTTTCTTTCTCTGCGAACTTCTTTACAGACCTGAATAAGGACTATCAATGCACATGCATCCTCAATCTGACCCTCGAAAGCTTTTCAATCCTGACTGCTATTAGGCGTCGCTGGCGGTGATTCATCGTACCTCTCGGCATCATCAGAAACCTTCACTACCGCGCTGGTCGTCCAGATATGCTTTCCGCTATCCATCTTGAGCCCCGAGATCAGCCCTCCTTTGATACTGACTGTTGACTTGGGCAGGCCATGCTCATCGTGAGTGCGATGAAAGATTCGGGTCCCGCATAGCCTGCAGAAGTAGCAGTCCATGTGCCCGCCGCTCTTTGTGGGGCGAGTCCAGACCTGGAGCTTCGACATGAGATCTTCCGTGAGCGGGAATAGGCCATCAGCGGGGAAGATTGCCGATGTACCAAATGCTGAAGCAGACTGCTTGCGGCATTGCGAGCAGTGGCAGCAGTAGATGTCGATGGGTTTTGGAGCTGGGGTCTTGAATGTGACTGTGCCGCATTGACATTCCACGTTCATTTTGAGCTGTAGCAGTCTGATTATGGTTGAGACTGGGTGAAGTTGGAGCTGCTGCGTTGCTAATTCTTCAGATGATATGACGTCTGCTCCTCAGTTGGATTGTTTTTTCATCGCGAAAATGAAAACCAGCCAGCAATAATAACAACTTTGATGGATGCTGTGATGATTGTTCAGGTTTGACACGCGAAGGGCGCCAGTGATCAGCTGGTTTCGCTTGACTTGAGTCATCATCGTTGATTGGCTGGCTTCTTGCAGGCGCGTGAGCGCTCACTACTTCCAACTCAATTCCCTGATTACTGAGATTGTCTGAGGTGTATTTATGTTCGCAAGGATGCGCCTCACTCACCCATCACTCCCGTGAGGTGAGATTGGTATTTCAGTGGGATCAGTGAGACAAGACTGAAGTGAGTTAGCGATGAATATGAGATGAGTCAGCACTCAGACGTGACCTCAAGCCCCTGAGCGCTCCCTTCCCCCGGCCATGTGTAGTCTGAACTAGTGCCAACTTCAGCGCGTCAGTGATCGCTGGCGTTCAAGCCTTCTTATTTAGCCGGGACGAACAGTCGTCTGGTAACATCACCAACTTCATCTGGTTAAGAATGATATCTTCCCCAGGTTCCGGGAGATCTCACCCTTGGCGACACCTGGTGCCGCTATGCCGATTCAGCCGCCGTTGAAAAGCACGTGGACAACTATCCCCGGCACCCAAAGAGCTGAAAAGTCTGGTTCTGTTCAATATGCGGAGAAACCATCGTCGTCTGAATAGCAGCCGCCCTGATATACCCTAGTCAACTCGGCCGGGGTGGCCCATCAGACCCCCGCCAAAAAATTCTCCCTTTTGACCGTGACCCTCCGTTCCAGATTAAGCACCCCGCGACCAGGAAAAGAGCCTAAATGAGACTGCTCAATCAATGCTGTCACCCGCTTCCCTCCCGCACACTCATCTAGATTGCTCTTGACCCAATGTAGTCGAATCGAGCCCCCTAGAGGCCCCTCACTGCCGGCCTCGCGCCGTGGTACTCTTAAATCTTGCCCCTGGGAGAAGCAAGGTTCGTCTTGAGCCACGAAGCGAACTCCCGAAGAGGTCGCATCCGGCCGTTCACCCCATGTCCAATAACCCCACAAAGGAGGTGTTCCCGTCTTTTTTGTTCTCTAGTCGTGACGAGATTGAAGTGCTTCGTGTGGGCTCATCATCGTCTGTTGAGCGCACCTCTTGGTTAAGCATATATAGACGGCTGCCCAGCCAGGTCATTCCTGTTTCTGGAAGCTTCATGTCCACAACCATCATCAGTTCCCTCGCTACTCTACATTCTTTGACGAAAAAGCCCGATTCGCCCAACATGCTTCTCGATACCATCGTCACCGGTCTCCTGATGGCCGCCAGCGCGGCCGCCATTCCCATCGAGAACCCCATGGAACTCATCAAGCGCGCCCCGAGCGCAGGTGTCGTGATCCAAAAGTGCGCCAAGCCGGGCGTCTTCGCCCTCGCCTACGACGACGGCCCATACCAGTACACTTCCCAGCTCGTCGACATCCTCAACAACGGCGGCGCCAAGGCCACTTTCTTCATGACGGGCACACTCTACGGCTGCATCTACAACCAGCGCACCGCCGTCAAGAAGGCCTTTGACTCTGGCCACCAGATCGCCTCGCACACCTGGACGCACCCGTCTACCTTTGGCAGCCTGACCACGGCGCAGCTCACGACCGAGATGCAGAAGCTCGAGCAGGCGATGGTTAACATCATTGGCAAGAAGCCCGCCTACATGCGCCCGCCGTACCTTGCTACCGGCGGATCCGTTCTCTCGACGATGAAGACGCTGGGATACAAGGTCATCACTGACGATGTTGACTCTGGCGATTGGAACGGGCAGACTCCTGCGCAGAGCGAGGCCAAGTTCACTGCTGCTGGCGCGAGCGGCAACGGACACATCCCTCTCATGCACGAGACCTACGCCACCACGGTGCAGACTTTGACCCCGTGGTTGATCAACTGGGCGAAGCAGAACAACCTCAAGCTGGTTACTGTTGGTAAGTGGAGTGTGCGAGTAGACTCATGCAGCCGGTAACTAACCTCTCTAACAGCTGAATGTCTCGATGACGCTAGCGGCGCGTACCAGTCTGGCTCCTTCACTGGCAACGGTGCGACAACTTGCTAGAGGCAAGAACGATGATGTATCTTTTCCACCTCTGACTAAGGGTGGCGATAGTGATATGGAGATTTCGTGGACATATTATTCCGTACATATTTATGATGCCCAGCGCATACTGAAAATAGGAAAAGCATTGGTTTCTTGCTGCAGATGTTCCGGCCACCCGCACTCGGCAAAGACTGGACACCAAAGTGATACGCCTAGATGTGTTCCAGTGTCGTTCACGTACCATACTGATCAGTTTCCAACCCTTCTTGACCTCCAAAGGTACTCCGCGCAAGACCTTTTTACCAGATTATAGAACAACTTCACTAAATAGGGACAACCTCTGGCTTCCATGAGATTTCGTGGCCAGGTACCACCCTTACAAGAATGACGCAAAAGTACAGAAAGTTCATCTACAATCCGGAGACCTAATCGGTGAGTGAAAAAAGCTCTCATTGTCGATCAGACTCTTGACCCTATTTCTGACGCTATGTCTGGAATCTCTATTGCCATTGTAGCATCACCGCGATGCTTGATGTGTATTCTCAGCAGTATACACGCAGAGAACCTACTAGAAATAGTAGCAATACTGATGGGACCAAAAATAGAGCTGGTAAGAATATAATCTCTAGAGACTGTAATAGGAGTATGAACAGAGGATTGAATTTACTGAGTAGCACGCCATTCTATCGCGTTCTGATCCGCCTTGCTGTAAGCGGTAATTTGCAGCACTCCACGACCTATACATGTACACAAATCCCTGCTTTTACTCCTTTATAAGTACCATGATCGAGCGCAAGTTGGCTCTCTATACGTCCTTGCATGACGTTCTTCGGAATCATCGAGTAGTTCGAGCTTTGGCCAACGCTAGGTCAGAGTCGCTCGCTTCGCATCCTGACAAAGTACGACGACCTGAGCAAGATCCAGAGAGCCCTCCCGGAGGAATGGATGCATCATTATTTGGAACGCACTCGTTTCCTCGATGTTCCCGGCCTGGTGGACGGGAGAGAGGGCTTCGACAGGTGCATCAGAGAACTCTGGAACCTTGTGTTCACGAGCTGGGATACCAATACCATAGTCTCTCCCCCAACCCCTGCGATCAATCGTCAAGCTTTCCATACGACCATGCCGTGGGTACTTTGGGAGAGGACGCAGTACTGTCCGCTGAAAACAGAGCCCGTCAGAAGCAGGGCCATGCCATTCCCGCCGTCCCCGAATGGCGCCGCCGCGGTGCCACCATTTACCTCAAGGTGAACCTGAATTGGGAGGGAAACGACCTGACATTCCCTTTTGTGGATGTGAAGGGGGCGTCCTTCCAGGCCTCCATCAAGTACGACTTGGCTGAGAATATCACCATCGAATACGCCAAAGGGCTTCTCTCCACCAGTTGGGACAAGGTGGAGCTTAGCCGCCTCGCAAAGGCCAACAACTCCCTGATGGTGTACTGGTGCCGAAATGCCCGGCTCAAGTCCCTGCGACACGAGGCCCGATACCCCAACCCGCGAAGCCCAAGGCCCGATCCCGCCTCTCTGCCGTCGTCAGCTTCCTCTTCCGCCGACAACGGCGCCACGGCCGGCCCGCGTGGAACATACAATCCTGACCGAGCGACGGGTCAGCGAGGAGTGGTCATCGACGAAACATCTCCGGATCTCTCGAAGTTTACACACATCGAGTCATCAAGGGGTGTGTGGGCCCTCCTTTTGCGGCCTGGGTATCGCGGCTCGGGGATCTGCGATGGTGGGGGGTCGACGGGAAAGGCATCGTATCAATCGAGGTAGGTATATGACCGAGTATCTGCGACAGTTAGTTCCCTCTTTTTTCTTTTTCTAGTAAGACTCAAATAGAGATTGCAATAAAGGGAAAAAAAAGTCTTACCATTTAATGCGTTTCGGGGGATGCTGTGAGGATAATGAAAGAGAAAGGGTGGAGGAATGTTGGAGGTGGGTGTATTCTGAGGTTTCTGGGTATGGAAAAAATGCGTGCACAAGGTTCGATTGTTGACGTGACGCGACTTGTCGACGGAGGGAGAAGGAGGAAGAAAAAGACGGAAAGAGGGGAGAAGGAAGTCACGTCGCGTCGAAAGGTCTTTCTTCTCTCGATGTCGTTGATGGGTATTTGGTTCACTCTGCGTATTCCATCATCGACCTCGGTGTCCTCAGTCTCCTTCAATTCGCCCACATCTGAAGTCCAGAGACCGGATGTAGAAGGCGCATGAGGCTCAAACTCATGTAGCTCCTGCCGTGACCTCTTCTGCATTAACAGCTCATCCCATGTCCGGCTTGCTTGCCTTTGCCTTCCTACTTATGTCACATTCCATGTCATTATAGAAGACCTACTTGCCTACTCCTGCGAATTAGGCATGCATAATAAGGTGGAGGCTCATAGATGAGATGCTGGCTGCTTTAAGGGTTAAAAAGATGAAATGACGATATATACGCTTTATCCGATGCGTACTCTCTGCGCTGAATACGTACTGTATATATATCCAAACTAGTCTTTTGTTTCTTAGGCCTCTTATCATCCCTATCAAAGAATGAAGAAGTTGATTCCCGATTCCTAGAGTAATCTTAGGCTACTAGGTTGCTCTCTTTATTGATAACATAAGGTTTCCCTCTCACACCAATTCCAGAATTTGGTTCCCAAAGACTTCTGCCCGCTCGATGGCGGCTTCATCCCTTCGGCAATGTCTTCCGGGATGCATCCGAATCTTCCCCACGGTATAATGTACGAACCGGACTTTTCTACCGAAACGTCCGGAGCACAAGAGGCAAATAGCTCACTATATGCGCCGTGTCTGGGTCCTTTGAACACGACAGCCTAAGACTCGATTAGCTTCGTGACGAGAACCACCATGCCAAGGACTTTCGGACATACCATGACGACGCTCATTGCTGCTGGAGCGTGTCTCTGCAACTCTGTTTTGACTAGTCCGGGGTTCACACTCTGTCCCTCAAGTCAGCATTCGTGGTATGTGATCAAGTGAGGGAACTAGGCTTACCACAGAGACGATGCCATCATCCTTCACTCGCTTTGCAAACTCATCCGCAAGAAAGATGCAGCCGACTTTTCCTTGCATGTAATCGCTCATAGAGTCTCCAGAGAGCTTCGGCGCATCCGTTGCATCATCCCAGATTACACCGCCCTTAGGCGCCCCAAGCGAAATCATACTCGCGACCCAGACCACTCTTACGCTCCCTTTTGGCATACCTTTTAGTCGAGCGGTAGCCCGTAGTCTCTGCTCCAGGCACCGCGTTAAGAGGTATGGGCCCAGGGCGTTGGTACCAATCTGTAGCTCGTGGCCTTGGGCGGTTGTGCTGCCCTGGGGCGGCATCATGACGCCGGCGTTGTGTATCAGGACATCTAGCCTCGACTCCTTGGCAAGAAAGGATTCAACGGCTGGTTTGACTGTCGTTAGATCTGCGAGATCGAGAACAAGCGGCTCGAGCTTGCCATTGCTCAATGGACGAAAGGCTTTGATGGTCTTGATTGCTGCGGCTATCTTCTCGCTTGAGCGAGTGGCGATGTATATCGTCGCGTTAGCTGCGTAGAGGATCTTGCAGAGTTCTAGTCCAATGCCAGATGCTCCGCCAGTGATGATGAATACCTGTATCTTGTTAACTTCGATGTTACATATCAGGTCAAGGGAGAGCAAAACGCACTCTGCCTGCTTGGTCTGGTAGATTCTGTTCTGTGAAAGTGGGTTTGGGCGGGAAAAGTTGGTTCATGTTGCGATTCAACATCATAAGTTGCGGATGTGGTGACAGGGGTAGGATCGAACGTGGTGATTGAAACAATGTAGGAGATTGAAACAAAATTCTAGGGTACCCAAATTTTCCAATTCTTTGATGTTAGACTATATCGTACCTACCTCATGAACTCCGCAAGATAGAGTCTATATAATTATCAGGTTCCCCCAAACTCTACACAGCACAGCGCACGTGTCGTGGTCTTTCTGATTAGTCCTTCTCCGTAAGCCATGTTAGTGTCTACGAAAACACAGCCCCAGCCTTCAGGAACATCATGACCGCGCAATAATCAGCGGTGCCTGAAGCCACAATGAACACTCCGGGTGGGTTATCGGGCCAACGTCTTGGCTTGGTCCGACAACGGGCAGAATTCGGCGAAGTTTCAAATTCGGGTGCAGGCCAAAGCCGACCCGGTTCGGGATTATGACACCAAAATGGCCCTGTAAATCCGAGACCACCGGATCCGGCCCGGCGCCCCACATAGGAGATCCCCGAAGGATGCGGAAGGATTCAATATTGATAATGCTCCTCACGACTACCGGCGGGCTGGAATCTCCGCGACAATTTTCAAAGATTAGGTTTTCAAAGAAATTGTAATTTATCAACTGCCAGACTTCTTCCTAATCAAGGAGGCTATCTTGAAAAAGGAGGCCTCAGGGAGTGTCATTTATAAGTCTAAGCCCGATCGAGGCGGCGAGACCAAGAGTAAGTAAGTAGGTAGTCGATGCCACCACGATGAACCAAAGCTTCGTTATCAAAAGATTCTTCATGTTGATAAACGACGGTGTTACTGCGGATTGAATCCATACGAAAAGCGACATGACAAAAGGGACATAATGATGGGTTCTGTCTCAAGAGAAGGCTTCAGACCCTACGGAGCCTCCGCCACAACTGCAATTTACAAACCGCATGTCAAGTTATTGAGAGGGAATAGAAATGCTTTTGGTGCGACAACAGCGGAAGGCGAACGATCTTTCATGTGCAATGGCAAAGCCGAAAAGGATCAGTGGTCTTATCCCTGCTGCGCACAGGCGGCACAGATGATCAAGAGGGTAGGCATCTGTGGCAACGTCAGTCAGTGGTTCAGACGAGGTAGATACGAGGTCATGATTGTAAACTTACGGATATCGGGTGTTCATAGTGTTCTAGACAGCGGCGATAGAAGCCAAGCGTCGATGGTTTTCGCCCAAACATCGCTTACAAGTTTTACGTGGATCAACTTCTCGAGGTCGGGTGGCGTCTCGTCGATCGTCAATGTTGTTTGTTTTGCGTTCTCACAGCTCTCCAACCCGTTCTTGAGTGAGAGGAGCAGCGCATTCCTTGTCCAGTAGATCATGAGTTGAGTATTGGCCCGACCCAACCGGCGGAGTTCGTCACGGTCCCAGCTAGCAATGCAATCTTCCTTAGTAGTGAATATCGGATAGCCAAGCGTCTGCTCATATCTGGTGCCGAAGGGAAAGTATGAACCTCTTGCGTCGCAAGCTTTGAATTTCAGAGACTCGAGCTCCTAATCGACTTCGACCTTCAAAAAGACGTCGTCACCACGAGAGTGCGGACGACGAGGGCGTGGGTCAGACACGGCGATACTGGTACTGTCCCCATGAATCTTCTTGGAGGGCTTGGCGTCTTCTGTCAAGACTCCAATCTTGACTATGCTATCCTTGGTCTTCCTAGCAACAGCACGAGCGGGTTGAGGAACTGGCGTATTGGTGTCCCAGTTGGTGAATGCCAGCTCCCAAATTTTGGCTCTCGCAGCCTCTTTCTCCTCCGCTGTATCAAGCCTCCACAAGCGAGAACACTCGTGGTGTCTTTCCATCCAGATGTCGGGAATACTTTTCTCCGTCGCTGTCAGATCATCATAGCATTTCAACGGCCACTCGACCTTGGCCCGTTGATTAGATGGGGAGATGATCGGATATAGTGGACGAATGGCGTTGTCGGAAGTTGTAAGAGGGATCGGGGATGAGGGAGTATCTGGCGACATGGCGAGATGGTCGTGTAGGGTTCCACGGAAAGTGTCGTGACTCAAAGGTAAGAGGATAAGGTGCTTAAAACTGTTAAGGGGGTGGTAAATTGTTGTGTTGAGTATTGGCTGGCTGGCGGCAAGCTACTGCTGCTGAAATATTTTCGAATGATGCAAAGGCTGCGAGAATTATACCGACGGCGGGCTGGGTGAAGCGGATGGAACTTTTGATGTGGTTGAGAGCAAAGGACTTGAAGTTCAGGCGTGGATGAAGCGAGGAAAGATGAGAAGGGAGGTGAGAGACAACTAGGGAAGGTGAGAAAAGGCGAGGGAAGGGGGGAGGAAAGGTAAGAGAACACGGAAGGTGAAAGGCAGCGGAAGGCGAAAGGGAATATGTGAGATCAAGAAAAGTGAAGGCGCACCCAGGCTGCTTTCCTTCAGGAAGTCAAGTTCAACACCGACGCCAATTGTGCCATATGCTAACTGTTATACAAAATCCAAAGAGGTTAATAGTAGAGCTTATGGACAAGATAGCAGACAAATGCGACCATCGTGAGAAAGTTATGAGGCGTTTGGCCTGGACAAAATCCGAGTCGACCCCGACAGCATCAACACAAGTCTCGAACCATTCTTCTCTTTTCGAAATTTGCAAGTTCAGCAATATCACCTGCCCGCCCCGCCTCACTCCCTGTTTCTCATTTCATTTGAGTCTTCACCGTTATCTTCGGTGCCATATCAACCTCCAGCAGGCACTCTGATCCCATTCTGGTTACGAGGTGATTCGATACCACTGAGGCCAGGTGACCTGATGGTATCTACTCAGGAAGCTGAGAAAAAGCAAGTGTGACGAATGGGCTCTCTCTGAATTCCCCGCTAGACGCGCATTTCCGAGCCATGGATCAAGGTTCGATGGTGCCTGCGAGGAGAATCTACAGTCCAACATGAAGACGTACGCGTTGGGGTACCTTATCTTGAGAAAAGAAAAATTGTGTCTCAGGAGAAGTAGGAGGCCGACCGAAGCTGGTTTTCCACGGACAATGTTGCCGGCTTAAAGAAGATGATGACGCGAGATGCGGACATCCCGTATGTTTCCGGGCAACAAAGTTGAAGTCTACAATGATATTTAGCGTGTCTCGGACTTCGCATCTCCCGGCAGATAGATGGCTCTGCTGAACATGTGGACGAGGAGCACTAGTTTTGGACTAACTTTGCTGTGCTACCAATCAACCCCGCATACGTTACCTGACTGACAGTTGCACAAGACGGCCTCCCGCGTTGAGTTCTGCATGTTTCAAACAACCTTCTCGGATTGGATAAGTTCGTGTGCTCAAGACTGCCATTCGAGCCTGCCGAGAATCGTTCCTTACAATTTACGATAGATTGAGACCTCCCCGTCTCAGCACGCCGGGACATGTTGGGCTTAGGTACGAGCTTATCTCCCAAGCTCTACCTCGTCCTATGATGTACGTCTTCTGAGAGAGAGTTTCTAGGCAGAGGGCTATTTGACGACAATACCAGGGGACCCTGTCAGTCCGGAGGTGGTTGATGAACTCCTTAGGAGGGTTAATTTGAGCTCTAGGGGAATGTTTTATACTTGACGTCCCCGAACACTACGTAGTTGAGCTAGTCAAAGCTCCCCTCAACTATCATCATTCAATTTCATACCGTACTAACTCGTCAAAACGTTCTTGCCAATCACTTCATTCCTCTTCGGCCAAAGTAAAATGGCCAACCAAACTGATCTTCATTTCATCATTCACCATGTTTTCCTGCCGCCCCAATTGCCTCACGCCGATGACTTCAGTCCGGATAACGAGAGTGCTTTGCTCCGACTTGTCAAAGATTCTGCCACTGAGTTTATCAAGCATGTTTCCAATAGTCAAAAGGCCTCCGTAAGGATTGCCATTGGTCTGTTGGATGCCATGATACGCATTCATAAACCCATGGGGAAGACGCTTGCAATTGAGCAGCGCGGCCTACTTGAAAGTTTGCAGAATCTGGCCGATGGTATGACCTTTGGTAATACCTTCTTGCGATAAGCTCACAAAGCTAACGTTATCGAAGGAGAAATCATCTCGCTCAACGTCCGGTTCCAGAATGCGGGTGTACTCATCACCAAGGCCCACGACGCAATACACGTGGAGGCGTTCGAGCTGTCTCCGACCAATCACGCAGTCATGTCAACCTTAGGTCGTCTTCGGCGGACCTTTCCCGGAACTGGAATCTCCATAGATCTAGCGGAGTTCAGACAGCCGGGCTGTCAAGAGACACTTGCTGACGTTTTGTCGATAATGAGCTCACAGCTTGCCCCAGGAACCCAACCATTAGCAAAGAAAGCTGGGCAGCTCCATCAAGAGCACCGCGATACCACAAGTCCGAAAATGGTCACCGAGCTCTTCATCTCGACTTTTCAAGCTATAGGGAAACCTCTTGATGGCACAAGAATCTGGAAGAATACCCGGGAAGAAGTCAACTATAGCGATGCCCTTCTTCCGTGGCGTCGTTCCCCTACTTGGCTGCTTGTTAGAGTCAGTCTGCAGCTAGCATTTGATCGCAGTATCGACGACACAAGTTGCAGTCTTTACAAGATATTTATGGCCTTTTTTGTGGCCAAAGTGCTTCATCACAGCATCGACACGGACAAGGAAGTCCCATCAGACCTTATACTCGTCATGGTCTCGAAGCTATCTAGACGACTGGGCAAAATTTCGAATGGCCGGATCCCCTCTGTCGTTGACCTCGTACATCAGACAATGTTGCGAGCTAACCAGGTCCTCGCCGATCGTTGGGATCGCATTCAACAACAGACCTCACCTGGTTTAGCCACAGAATTGGCCGAACTCCAAACCTTGGACTTCGATGAAGACTCGCACCTGCATCTGCCAGCTCTTGACAGTTTTCTAGCTTCTATCGACAGTCGAAGATGTCACTCGGAAGGTTTCGAGTTCATTCCGTCGTGGACTTTGATCAAGTACGACCCGGAAATCTTTCCTTCGGCCGTTCTACAACCAGACAGGGAACATTTGCATTTGCATCTAGTTGTGTTTGAAACATGGGTTGAACGTCATCTACAGGCTTGGCTGATAGGCGAGTCTAGCCAAGGTTACAATGGATCATGTGCCAAGATACGAAGCGTCATTGAGGGGTATCACGCTACCGCCAGCGGCCTTTACGCTGGAAACCCAGAGTCACTCTCCATCATGCTGCTGACAATTCTGGAACTATGGGTTGCTTGCGACAAAGCTGCTGTGCACCTGTTCCCGATGCTGAGAGACTACAACCCCGAAATTCCCAAGGGCGTTCTACAGAACTTGCTTCTTCCGCTCAAAAGCCAGATAAAGAGACTTCACAACGCAGAAAAGTATCTACTTGATCGGAACCGCAGTTGTAAGACTGCAGCATACGCTCCTAGCATCTATAACACCTACGGCTCTCCACATTGTTTCCCTGTTCGTCATTTTCAGCAGTCTTGGGAACACCAGCGCCTGAAAGAGGAGATCGAGGCAAGAGCGCAACGAGACAGGGAAAAGAAAGTGGAAGAACTAAACAGAAAGAAAGAGAAGTACGCAGATCTCATGCACAAATATCGTACCAGCAATTGTGAGTATTATGATGGGTACAACCGGAAAACGGGGAGGTACTACAGAAGCCACAGCGGTGGCTGCGCCCGCTGTTCGTACCACAATCAGGCCAACAGCTTGAAAATCGATATTCATGAATGGCCACTGCCATCACGAGAGCTCGATGCAGAATCAGTCGTATTCGAGCTTTTAGTGCCAGGATCATTCGGAGAATGGTGGGAGGCTACCGTGTTCTTCCTGTTTGAGGTTCTGAAAGTTACGCCGCGACTGGGTAGTCAGATACAAGAGTCTTCTTACCCCTTGAAAGACTACAATGGTCTCTGCAAGTTCTTTCGAGGACAACTCACGCCACACTTCGTCAGCTTGCTTTCAGAGGCCAAACCGCACATGGCAACCCACCGGAAGACGGTGCATGTAGCAACTGCCACCGAAGATCAGGTCTGTCTGAGCAATGGACTGCATTACGCCTACTACGATCATCGAAGGCATTGCTTCATGGAATCATTTGGAGGATCCGATACCATTCCCAAGGAATGCACTTACCAACTACCCGCGGCGTCAACGGCGTTACAAAAGTTTCTCTTCCGGCCGTCAACATGCCCAAACGGTCCAACGCCCAACACCGTCATCGCCACACTTCACGAGTGTCCTCATGACATGTCACTCGAGGAGTACAAGGCCCTAGCTTCAATTCCTTTGGGATACAATTTGCAATGGGAAAACATTCTATTGCAACTTTTTGCTCCTACGGTCGATTTGAAGAAGCGGGAGACTGCCCTGGTCATTCTTCAATGCATCTCTCAAGCAGGACCGGATGGTGATTCGGAGTACAGAAGAGCGCATGCAATTTGTCAAGACGAAAGATTTGCGGATACGCTACTTGACGGATTGTCTGAAGCTATCACTCGTTATGAGGAGAATTGGCAGTCCTCATCTGCGTTTGCCACTTTCACAGCCACGGCTCGACGTATTCTGAGCCTCACTCCATTAGTGAGTGTTCAGAAAAGATGCTTCGGAATACTCGCTCAAGCAAGGCGTATAACATTTGGTTGGAGCCAGAGCCTAAGGGGGAAGGCTCAGGATTCTGATGACGACAATGACAAACTGGATTTCCAACGCCGGGCACTCGAGGTTGTGTTGATTTGTGCAGACACCTTCAACGTGGACGGCCAATTTCAGCGCGATATCTTTTCCGAAAGCTCCGCCGTCTCGACTTTCTTCCAGTGCTGCATCGCTATCCAAGAAGGCCAAATACTACTCGGATCTGTGGAC